CTTCCCTCTCAACTGAGCAGGAGCATCATCCTTCAAAATGTCGGAAACACAATTGCCTGATCCCGCATTCCCCAACGGCAAGGGAGATGTGGGTTCTACCCCGCCACCAGGCCAGATCCTGACGGGCAAGCAAGAGCATTGTAAGTTGGAGGATATGATGAGATTCTGATTTCGCAGTTGCTGACATGTAAATTCGCGTAGATCTCAAGCGCGAGCTCATCTCTCGTGAAGTCCGTGACGAAATATTCGAGCTAAATTCCCCCACCGCGCTCCAGCGATTCGGAGCCCCCTTCAGATCGGAATTTGGCGAGGTCGCACCGGTCGACTCCGAGCTGCCTATCCTTCGGTATATTTTTGTTCACCACGTTCGAAATTTCCCATTTCTTGACCAAGCGCGCGAAAAGGAGTTTTGGCAGGATAAGCTACAAATTGTGGGTGTTTCGCTTCCCTGGATGGAAACCGAGGACCAGATTGTAACTGACAGTTGGGGATGTAGTTCTTGGAATCGTTTGCCAATAAACATGTCTCGTCTTCGGAGGATCGACTGGAGGAGACAAAGCGCCGGAAGTTAGCTCGAAAATGCGAGAAGCTCGTGGAGCTCATGATGGTTTCGGGTGTGCCGACCGCGTCGGGATATGAGGAGCGTATCCAGTTTTCGGAGATGGAGATCGTCGAGCGTGGCGCTCAGGAATCGGGCCTGCTGTTTAATATGCCCGAGGGCAATTCAATCAATGGTTGGGATGTGAACGTGGCCGCTGTGCGGACAACGTCTGTCAAGCGGACGGTGCGATACCATCAACATGCTGTGAGTTTCATAATTCGGATCGCCTTCGTTTGGGAGTTGGGATTCTTTGCTGACAACATCTGTTGTAGGAATTCATTATTCGAGTTCGTCACCACGACAAACATGAGGTTCATATTGGGAGGAGATATGGCGAGTTTGTTAAACTTCACAGGAGGCTGAGGACGGAGCTGCCAGGAAAACAACTCCCTCCTCTTCCTCGTAAGAACAAGTCTTCTACCTCAAGCTGGTGGGGTTCTAGTGCAGATGATGACGCTTCGTCTATCTCATCTCTTTCGACATTGGACACGAATGCTCCCGAGGATCGGCTCTCTGCACCAACTCTTGCCCCAGCGAGCGTCCGGCGATCGATCTCCCGAGGATCATTGCGATCAACGAAGTCGCCGCGTGCATCAACGAGCGACGTGTCCAGGGCGACTGTGCTGTACCGGGAGGAGCAGCGTGTGTCGCTCCGCGCGTTCCTGCGTACTGTACTGCAAAACAAGCGTATTGCAGAATCCAAGGCCATGGAAGAATTCCTGACTGCTCGACCCATCCAGTTGAATGAGGAAGAGCTGATTGATGTTCAGAGACGGAAAGACATGGATGCTGTGAGAATCGAGGAACAGAAGAGATTCTATGAGATTGCCAGGCAGCGAGCTGCGGAGCTGGATGTGTACATGGAGCGGTTCCGGCGGGATATTGTGGAGAGCAGTAAGTCGCGAGCTCCTTCCAACATAACATGGTTTGCTAATCTCACTTGGATTTTAGATGGCTTGACAAAACTGTTTGCCGAGATCCGGGAGAAGCCCTCAATTCAAGATCTCAGCCCGCAATATCAGAAATTTGCTGAATGGCTCCGCATTGAGTATGTTTTCTAATTTTCTGAGCGCGTCACCCTACTGACATTGAACAGAGTCGCTGCTACAATATACCATCTGTTCCTTGCCGAGGATAATTCCCCTGAACTGTTTGCACAGGCGAAGAGAATCCACGGCCTCGTTCCGTACACACTGATGAAGAATGTGATTCGCATCGCCAACCCTGCTGCAGTCATGTCTGGTGTTCTAGATCTCTTCATGGCCCAGCCCTTCGGCTCACGTTCACTTTTGCAACGCATCTTCTCATTAACACTAAACGAAAGTATCAAAGATTTCCAAAGATCAATTGATTCTCTGGCCTCGAAGGTTGGAGATACAGTTCTTACTCAGAAGCTCAAGAGCTTTGCGGATTCTGAGGAAGTCATCAAGAATGTGATACGAGAAGAGGCTGTTTCCGACGATGTCGACATTATTGTGGCCATCCTTCGCTCCGAACTAATATCACCCGACCTCAACTCGGAACAGATTGGCAAGGTGTTCAACGGCTACGTGGCTTGGAACTACGCCGTGGAGAATGTAGATCTGGAAATGCAACAGGGCGCCCAATGGTTCGCTCACATGAAGCAGCTGCTGAAGCTCTACACCCGCCAGCGCGATAAGGCGATGATGCTCGGCATTGTCGAGGAGCCAGTGACACTGCAGCTCTTCCGGGATCTGTTCACTATCTTCTACGAGCCGCTCGTCCGGGTCTACAAATCTGCCAACGTATACAACAGCATTACGGATTTTGCTCATTTTGCCGACGATGCTATTAATGTGATTGAGAGTGCTCAGCGCCAGGATGCCTCTGCCGATCCGAACCAAACAGTGCAGGCCTTCATCGATCTGTGCGCTCGCCACGAGGCCAACTTCTACAAGTTCATCCACGAAGTGCACCAGCACGATAACGGCCTATTCCAGTCTCTAATGGGTTGGATCGAGGAGATTCTCGATTTCCTGCGCAACGGCCCCGCTGGAGGCAAAATGGATATCAACGCTTTGTTCCAAGGAGCTGCTGGAGTTGGTCAAATCGACAAAGATCTTGCTCTCACGGAAATCAATCAGCTTATCAAGTGGCAAGAAGACCGCAAACGCTGGCATCTGAACAAGACTCGCCAGAAGATGGCTGCTGAAGGCACCTCTGGGGAAACTATTCCAGGAGCTTCAGCTTTTAAGGGCAGTGATTTCGGTTTGGACGAAGTATGTGTTTCCACCCACTCAATTTCAAAAATATATTTGGATTTCAGTGCTAACCACGAGTTTACAGGCTGATTTGGAGGACCTCACTATCTCGGATGAAGCATCTGATGCCTCCGACGAAGACAGTGGAGATGAGGACATGGACGATCCTATCGCCGTAGAGCGCCGCCGACGGACAAAGAAGCAGGACCAACTTCGCCGTAGCGCGGGTGAACCCATCAAGCCCGAGGTTACGGAGATTCTCAAGCTTGCTGATCCGTTCGGTGTCATGTTGCGGCACGTGCTTGCTGATTAGATGTCGACGTTAGAATTGTTTTCCTGCATTCGTGATACCGCCATAGATATGGCTTCTCCAGTTTGATTCCCATTATCTGATTGTGTTTCATACACCGATCGGTTGCTCGTTTGCTTCTACTTGCTGGCTCGCTCATGGCTGTGGCGAGGGGTCGGGAGGAATTAGATAGATATAGCGGATGATAGGGACCGCAAGCCAGATAGGCCATGATAATTGAGACGAGAGTGTTCATGATGGGTTGCCTATGTATCTCTGCAGTGCTTCCACTACCTGCTGATTGCCATTCTCCGATGCCACATCTAACGGCGTCTTCCCATCTGTGTCTTTCAACTGTGGATCAATTCCATGCGCCTCGAGCAGTAGCTCTACAACACCTATGTGACCATAAAACGCAGCGTTAAACAACGGCGTCTGACCGTACTCATCACGAGCATTGGGATCAGCCCGCCTAGAGCCAGTTAACAACCGCCTAACAATCCCCTCGTGATTTCTTTCCGTCGCAACCCCCAACGGTGTAGTCCCATGCATATCAGCAATCTCCAACCCAACCCTGTCACATCCAAGCAACAAGTCCACAATTTCCTCGTGCCCATTCTCCGCAGCAACAAACAAAGGTGTCTGCCTCTTCCAATGCGTCTGCAAATTAGGGTCCGTAACCTCCCACCCTAGTAAGAACCGTACAACATCCACCCGCTCCGCCGAAGCCGCAATTGAAAACGCCCCCCGTCCATATTGCTGTCCCTCAGCGTTGGGATCAAGCTTCTCCCCAAAGTACTGAACCAAGTACCGCACAATATCAACATGTCCCATGATAGCCGCATAGAAAAACACATGCTGGCAATGCACAGCGCCATTGTCACCGTCAAGAATCAGCCGTAAATGCTTAGCAAGTAGCAAGCCCACGTCCCCGTCTGCTTCACGCGCAGCACGGCTGAGCGGCGTCCATCCCTGCCGATTTGGCACACGCGGATCCACCCGCCCGTTACATAGCAGCATCGTCGTCATCTTGGGCTGGTGATTGACAGCAATCATCAGTGCGGTATCGCCTGTTTTATCTTGCAAGTTGACGTCTGTACGGTCATCGTTCAGCAGGGTCTGCACTATGGCTGAATGGCCCTCTTTGACAGCCCAGGACAGTGGTGGGCGGATCCATTTTCTATCGCGGGTGTTTGGGTTTGCTTCATCGTTTAGCAGGAGCAGTTTGAGTACCGCAATGCTATTATGCAACGCGGCTAGCATTATTGGGGTGCAGCCTTTTATTCGCGGGTCTGTGTCTGTTCTTAATTGAATATCGAAGCCTGCGGCGAGGGATTTTAGGGCTGTTGATGGGGTGTCGGTTGTTGAGGCCCAGAAGAGAGATTTTGGATTCGGGGACGTTACATCGCGCTTATAGAGGGTGCTGTTTAGGAGACTGTAGGTTGTTGTGTTGGTGCATGTCAAGGCATTTAGATCTGATGACGATAGAAGGAAATCGGATATTGCGAGATATAGCTCTTTAGGGAGGGTTGAGAGTGGGCCTTGAGTGTGTCGATGCATAGTGTATGCATTTGAGGTGTTTAGAAGGGTATCGAAGCATGAGGGGTCATTAAAGGATTTCGACGTGGGGTTAAGCTTCTTATAATGGCGTTGGATATGTGGAGATCCTCAGCCTCAATAGCCCAGTGATTGGGATGAATATAGATGAGATTGTCTCGGATTATGCCCCCCCATGTTCTATTTCTAGCACTATCATAATCCACCTGGTCCATAGAGAATGTCTTAAAAGCGCCAAGACCTCGTGGGGTGATAAGATAAGCAGGTTTCCATGGCGACAGGCAACGTTCATCTTCCCTCTTGAACAACATCTGAGGAAACGCCGTGGAAAATGTCGTCCCCTCAGAGATACCCAGGTTCGCCAGGAACTACAGCACCTCTGCGTCGTGGTCTCTTCAAAGATGGTATTTGGTGTTGTAACTGCCCAGAGCGGCCGGCTGCTGCCCGCCGTCAAACAAAGAAGCAGGGAGCTAACTTTGGGAAATGGTGTATGTTGAATCTTGTTAGGCTTTCAAGGTTGATGCTTGGAAACTCTACCTATATTAAGTTTGCGACTGACTGAAAATAGTTTGGACTTGCGCGCAGCCTCCACATCTCAAGTGCAGCTTCTTTCTGTGGGCAGATGACGCTACAATGCGTGAGCAAGCAGCCGTTCTTGCCAACTCTCGATCTGAACTAGACCCTACCTCACTCACCCCATCAAAATACACACCAGGACGTATGAATAACGGGCTACTCACTCCACAGACTGGGCGCAGATTCATCAATCCCCCCAGCGCAACTTCAAGTCGCCCCCGAAGACAGCGAAGGCCAGAATGATCTCAGAAGCGTCAGACAATCTTGGCTGGAATGACGACTCGGATGAAAATGATGAGCTGGTCAAGGCACTCTCTTCCAGCCAGACCGAGACCTTCATCTCGCAACCCAACTTCCACCCCGAATCCCCATTCAAGATCCCCCTCACCTCCACAGTGACCTCACCTGGCAAGCGAAAATTGACAGAAGTCACAAATGGGAACGCCCCATACGACCAATCTGCACCCGCGACGCCTTTTTCATCCCGCTCCTCTCGCACCGAGATGTTCCCTCCCTCGTCTGCAGAATTATGCATGACACCCACGCCTAGCAAATACAACGATGTGCTTTCTGCAGACTCGAAGTTTGACACCTCGGATATTGCAAAGAGTCTACTCGATATTCTGGAAAAACATAGTGTTGTTTTGCCAAACAAAGCGCATGACGAGGTCGTTTCGCTGCTTGACCGGCAGGACTTGAAGACGCAGGGTATTATTCGTGGGCGGGATATGACGCGACTGGCATTAAAGAAGAAGGATGACGATATCAAGAAGCTGCAAGACCGTGTTTCCAACCTGGAAGCTCAGAGGGAACTGGATCGTTCTCTTATTGAGGGGATGAAACCACATTGAGGGCAATCGGACTGCATATGCAGCGAGACACTGCCAATATTTCAGAGATTGGTATTGGGAAATACTGGTAAAGTTATGGCTCAGTGTGGGCCATCTATCTCACGAACTGTTACGATGATATGATAGCTTTGCGATCTGCGATTATTGTGTTATCGTCTCAATTTTTGTAAAGCGGGGGAACCATCATCCTGTTTCATCAATGGACAAAATTCAGCATGCTCAAATGAGAAAATATGACGAGCTTTATCAGTCTAGTAAGAATGATTTGATAACCCTACATATGTACGAGTTACCCTACCTAGCACTTTGGCATATGGGAGAAATGAAGCTAAATACTACTTCGTAGACTACAGTTCGCTATCTGCACAGGTGCCCCTCGAAATAATTACCACAAAGCCAATATCCACAATGATTCAATACTGATTCCGACACATTTTGGCCTACATTTCACATGTAATCTTTAGATCTACCTGGATGGATCTCCAGGGCTGGATAGATCTAGATAAGATGTCACGTGGGAGATAAGAAATAAATTATCGCGCCGCAATGCGCCTCGAGCTTCGAACAAGGAGACAATCCGCAATAGGCCAAAAATAGACACTCTCTATCTCCAATGAAATCAACAGACGAGGCTTCCAAGCAGGCTACTCTCCACGAGACCCCCGCCATGTTCCGACCCCCTGTGAACCGTGCCATGCGCACACTCGACCGGTCATTTTTCCGAAGAAACGTGCCCCTCTCCGTCGCCCGCGTTTTTAAACAAAGCGATATTTCAAACGTGCGGAAGGATTTGGTCAAAAGCCACGACCTCTTGCTGCTACCACGCATTAGCGCTATCCGTGAGGTAAAGGATCAAGATGGCAAGATCTGGAAGGCTATGTTGTTGCGCGAAGACCTGAAGGTTGATGGTATGTTTATTGGGTTTATATCGCTTGTAACCTTGATCGATGGATTCTAATTCGGAGTTTACAGATAAGGCAACATGGTCACCTACTATCAACGAGCTCGTAAATAAGGGAACGGTCGCCCTGGGGCCTTACGAATTGGCATTGGAATATGACCATTGGTCATACGGTATGCTTGCCATCATGTTTTCTCAGCCAAGTATGCCATGCTAACATTCTCATAGCTGAGATCATCTCATCAGTTCTACCCGAGGATATGATGGAAGAGATCCCCCAAGGCTTCACTCAAGTGGGGCATGTCTGTATGTTCGTCTGAGTCACTGGCTATAAACCCAATACTAACGAAACCAGTGCATATAAATCTCCGCGCCCAATACTTGCCATATAAGCACATAATTGCCGAGGTTCTTATGGACAAGAACCCGACCATCCGCACCGTCATCAATAAGACCGAAGATGTCGGCTCACACAGCCAGTTCCGCACCTTCCCATTCGAACTGCTGACAGGTGAGAATGACCTTAATGTCATCCAGCACGAGCAGGACTGTGAGTTCCGGTTCGACTATGCCCGCGTCTACTGGAACAGCCGCCTAGAGACCGAGCATCGCCGCCTGGTCGAGAAGTTCGAGCCGAGCGAAATGGTCTGCGACGTGATGGCCGGCGTTGGCCCCTTCGCTGTGCCAGCAGGCCGGAAGAAGATCTTCGTCTGGGCCAACGATCTTAACCCGCATGGTTATGAAGTCATGCAAGATGCCATCTCCCGTAATAAGGTGCAAGATTTCGTTACTCCTTTCAACCAGGATGGTCGGGAGTTTATCCGTTCCTCGGGCCGGTCGTTGCTCGCGGCGAAACCTCTTACCGTCACTATCCGCCCAAAGGTGGGTAGAGAGCAGCAGCGTAAGGCCGCGGAAGGCAAGGGGGCCCAGCTACCCGCGCCGAAGATATACACCCGTCCCACCATTGTCAATCACTATGTTATGAACCTGCCTGCTACGGCCATTGAATTCCTCGATGCCTTCCCTGGGCTCTACGCTGGCGAGGAACACGTGTTCGCGCCCAACACGGAACAAAAACTGCCCATGATCCACGTTTACTGTTTCTCGGGACACTCCGATAACGAGGTGGATGATCACATCGATATCTGCGAGAGAATCTCTGAGCGTCTCGGGCACAAGATCACTGTCGATGACTGTGTGGGAGGCAAGGGTAACCAGGATGTGGAACTCGCCATTCACAATGTGAGACTGGTTAGTCCCAAGAAGCAGATGTTCTGTGCTAGCTTCCGTCTGCCTCGGGATGTCGCTTTTCGGAAGGTATAGATTTATTGCATAGCTGCATTTGAGGCGCTTGGGCCTTTGCTCCATGAACAAAAATAAGACAGTACCCCCAAGAAATACCTATGATAACTAGTATTAGTAGTAATGAATAAGCTTAATTTTAGGTTCCTAGTTATTGGATCTTGTTTTACTTCTGGAGGGGGAGGCGGTAAGGGTGTCACCGCCTTGAAATGCCGGATGTGAAACTGCAGAGATCAACGTCGCGCCAAACAAGTCACCTCATCTTCTTTACAGCAGATCTACGGCGTCGACAAAGCTGGCAAGTCTTTTTCACCAGTACCTTCCATTTACCAGCACTGAGCTGCATACCCGAACCTACGAAATCTCACCCCCCAAATTGCACAATGAGCGTCCAACTCCCCCCACCCACACACCGCAAGCGCGCGCTGCCACAAGGCGAGCTCGAAGCTGCCTCCACGCTCAAGCTGGGCGCTGACCAACACACCCATACCCTCTCCCTTTCAGAAGCACGACTCGTGATCCACAAGGTGTTGGAGAACAAGCGACGGGGCGGCAACAAATACGAAGAGCCGGAGTAGGTGGACCATGGATCCGATGTCGAGATCGAATGCTTACCTGGAATGTTTTTTTTTTTTTACAGAAACCTGACCAAGACGTTGGATTACTTGGATGTCTTTGCTCGGTTCAAGGATGAGGAGAACATCAAGGCAGTCGAACGCCTCTTGAACTCTCACACGGAGCTAGAGATGTTCGAGCGGTCGCAGCTGGGTAAGTTTTGATTTGCACCCTCTCATCAGCCAAGACCTGGTCCGATCCATGGCATTTGCACCTGGATCATGTGGGAAGATTTGGTCAACCTCTTTACTGACATGGGTCTGAATAGGGAGTCTGTGTTGTGATAATGCCGAGGAGGCCAAGTCTCTCATTCCGAGTCTTCAGAACAAGATCTCTGATGGAGACTTGCAAGAGTTGCTGGATGAGCTGACCAAGTTGCGCAATTTCACCGAGTAAAAACATTCCAGTGTGGATGCCTCATTTTTTAGGAGCATGGAGTTTGAAGGCGTTTTATGTTTGGGTCCATGATTTCCCGAAGATCGAACATACCATCAGGGGAATTGGTTCATAATAGAAACCCGGACAGCTCAATTCTTTGGCTCAAGTCCGTGCCCGTTTTGCCGTATACTCCCGGGGAAGGAAATCATGACTCCGGGGTGTTCCACTCCGGACACCAAAGCTAAAATTTCCAATTTTGGTAATGTATTACACATATTCGATAGCGGTCAAAGATATATAAAGTACTGTACATATGCACATACATACATAGTTTGGCTTTTCCCTCCACAATTACCACCCCACAGTATTTTTGCACCTCGGGCACTACTGCGACCTTTAGTATGGGACAAACTATGATTGGTTGGGTGGAAAGACGTTATCATTGAATGATGATTGGTCCGGGAGATCCTAGTCAGACTCTTGACCAGTCAGAAAGCCACAATATATATGCAGGAAGACAATCCTTGAACAGAGATAAAGGGGGGAATTTAAAAATTTATATTTTAAACCAAGATCGGGTTCTTATTATCTAACTATTTGATCTATATCCTATGTAGATGCTGACCTAATAATATTCAGTACGTAATGCCATGTCTGGTTTCAGAACCAATCAGCATAGGACCACTTATCTTTGACAATTAAAGTGTCATAATTCTCAAGTCACTTTGCCTTGGATGGTGGTTTTTGTTACGAGACAAAAAAAGCTGATCATCTGGGAAAGTACCATTTTTCCGGCTATAGTTTATATTACCTATTACTCCGTAGATCGATGTCATCACTCTCTCTCTCTGACTCTTTTTCTTCTTCTTTTTCTCTTCATCTGTAGGAATGACGGAGCGAACTATTCGACATCTCATCCTGCTGCAATCACTTGCAGGATCATCCGCTTGATATCTCTTTCGATCTCCGGTGCCGGCTTGGGAACTCGGAGATAACCTTTTTTTTTTCTCTGATAAGCGTATGTGTTTCTCTTATCACCATGATCTCATCCAATGACTGACTCGGTATATCCAGAAAGGAGAGAGAGATCTCACGCTAGATCCTAGATTGCGGACACGCCTGGGTACTCCGTGAAGACCCTATCACTTTTTTTTTTTACCTCGTTCCTATTTGCCCGATTATCGTGCCAGTGTTCCGGTCCACATGGCTACCGTTATCACTATCCAGCCTTCGGGCTATCAAGCCCATTCCCCTGATCTCCGCCGAAAGACGGCCTCGACCCCAACACTCTCTCCCTCCCCCATCTCCGTCAATTCGACCCTTCCCCGCGTACGGAATGGAGCTAGCTGTGACGCTTGTCTCCGCAGAAAAAGCAGGTGTGCCATGAACGAAATGGTCAATAAATGCTACTCGTGCGACTTTCATCGCCAGGAGTGTACCTTCGGCCTCACATCCCAATCCGAGGCTCCATCGAAGAAGAGGAAATTGGATGGGCCGGAGCCCACGGAAGCAATTAAGCGGTATGGACTTCCAGCCGGCTGGGGACATACTTCAGCTCCATATATAGAGAGAAATTGTGCCCTAACAATCCCCAGACCCTCGACAATTCAACCGGAGCAATCTATCCCGGAGACCGAGTCTCACCCGCAGGCAGTGAACATGATTCGTCCCGGGTTCTTTAACCAATCAACCCAATATATTGGCATGACCACGGAGCTGGAGCCGACCTTGCTGGATTATCTTCCGCTAGACCAATACGACGAATGCACAGTTTCGAATTCACGTGTGCGGAGGTGTGCCGACGATGGCACCTTCATGCGCGTCGTAGACACGGTGCCTGTCGGTGACTCACAGGCCATGTCACTAGATGCGGTGGAGAGCCTGGTCGCTCCCTACGGCTCAACGCTGATCGAAAAGTTCTTTGACCATGTGCACCCGTCGTTCCCAATTTTGATAGAGGAAGTGTTCCGCCAATCCTACCGTGAGCGCCGTGGCCTCTCACCGCTACTGCTCGCCGCAGTCTACGTCTTGACATTGAAGTTCGTCGACGTCGGTGTCAGCTCGCAAACTGCGCGCAAACCCGATGCTGCACGACTGGAGGCTTCGGCCTTGAAGCTGCTGATGGATTCTTTGCAATCCCCCAGTGTTTCGACTATCCAAGCCGGCCTCCTGCTGACCCAAAAGTCGACTCTAGCTACGGCATCATTAAATGGGCAGCTGGTCACGGCTGCGTTCGAGCTGGGCCTGCATCAGGACTGCACGAACTGGCGTATGGAGACGTGGGAGAAGGGCTTGCGGAAACGCCTCGCGTGGGCTTTGTATATGCAGGATAAATGGTCTTCGCTGGTGCACGGCCGACCCTCGCATATTTTCGCCTTTAACTGGACGGTCAAGGATCTCGTGGAGCAGGACTTCTCGGACGCCTTTGCCTCCGGTACTGACTCCTCGCACGATGAAACCGCCGTCGGCCACGGCCCTCTTCTTTTCTGCCACATGGTCGCACTAACAACCATCCTCTCCGATATCCTCGACCGTTTCTATACATTACACGCCATCGAAGAGTTCTCCGCCGCCGGAAACCAGCGTACACGCATGATCTTAGAAAAGGCCAAACCAGCCCAGATCCGACTCAAGGACTGGTTCTCCTCCCTCCCACCGTCCCTCAAGATGGAAACCTCCACCGGCGAACTCGTCGAGACAATCACAGACGAACATGCCCGCAATGGCGCCCTCCACCTCGCCTACTTCGCCACCGAAATCACCCTCCACCGCTGCATCGTCCGCTCCCTCCTCGCCGAAGGCACAGACCAGTACCTCGCGCACATCTGCCGCTCCGCCGCAAAAACCCGTCTCATCTCCGCAATGGACTTTGTCAACCGTCTCCGCCCTGCTCACCTCCGCTCTTTCTGGCCCGCCTCCGCACGCACCAACTTCTCCCTCATCGGCTCCTTCGGCATGCTCCTTCGCATCACCGCCCCGACAAACGAGGAGGCAGACTTCTACCGCGTCCGGCTGTGTGAATACCGCTGGACCCTAGGCGTCAGCCACAAGAACGCCGAATTCATGGGCTTTGCCCTGCAAAGTCTTGATAATGCCACCGCGCTACACAAGCACGTCCCCGCGAAGCCGGGGATTGCGGAGCTCATGGCGTCATCTAGCAAGAATGCGCCACCGCGTATGCCGACTACCTCGCTGGGCTCGTACGATGATGCTATGATGGATGCCGGCACGGGGGCTTCAAGCTCCGTTATGTCGGGGCTCGCGTCGCCAGCTACGTCTGTTAGTGATATGGAAGATGGGGAAGCCTCAATGGCGCCCCTGTGATCACATTCATCTCTCTTCCTTCTCTTCTCTTCACCTCAGATTCATATATTTTCTCAACTCCGCCCCGACCTCACACTACCTCATTTTCGGCCCTTTAACTCTCCCTGACGTTTTCTCATGACTCCCCTTCTACTACGGCGTTTTCTCGGGAATTTTTTCTTGATTTTCTGGGATGAAGCGTTTGATTTATTTGAAATTTTTGATTATGGATGCATGTACCCCATGTACCGAGTCTGCTTGCACTGCAGCAGACTAGAACCTGTTTGTGACGACGGACTTCCCCCAGCTTTGGAATATCTGGATTGGACCGGATTATGCTTTGTGCTTTTTGGTTTTCCTTTTCGCCAATTTTATAGACAGGAATTATGTACATAGATTGGATGATGAATTATGATTTTATTCTTTTGATGACGATGGCTGTGGCCGTATGCACCCAACAATAGTATAATACTAATATCTTCGAAAAGCGATGTTGGTTCCGGCTTGGACGTTTGAACAATTCTCACTTGATATTTAGTCTCCTGGCTGCATGAACGGGCTATCGAAAAGGCCTTGTGCCAATACTCAGCCAATGGAAATTGAGGGTTGTTGTCCATGGAGACTAAAGTTGTGGATGACATGGTCAAGATGGGATCCCCTTGAATCGAAGAGGTCTTTCTTGTAGAAGAAACCACGTATGGTCCCGGGACGTGATATTCTGAACGTCGCATTTGCAGGGCACCTCCCTCCTTCCACTTGATCGTACGCCGGACGTCGATTCGGGGTTCGGAGAATTCAGTGTAAGACTTGAGTTTAATATAACAATATTTACTGCCGTAGAGAGAAGAACTGGGGAAAAGAAGCCATAATTTGAATTAGATGACTGGGGAGATAGAGGAAGGAAGCATAGGTGAGAAGTAGAGGTGTATCCGCCTTAGGCAGGAAGGCTGCCTCAACAATAGATCTATCATTGAATGCGATCTCATGGCTTCTGTAACGAGTCTGCTATCCTCCAATATAGACGAATCATATGATCTGGTTCTATAATGGGCTCAGCGCATATATGACTTATATCCGAATATGTATCAACTGAATAATTGATGCTGAATGCTGAATGCTGAATTTATTCTTTTGATTCAATTGGTATACTCTCAACTAAAAGAGAGAGAACTCATTGCCACCCCCAAACGCAAAATCTTCCAAAACACTTGGATCCACTAGATTGGCAAGCATGTCTGCCCGACTTCGATCGGGCTGTGTTTGTATGCCGTTGCTGAAGAGCGAAAAGAAGAAATCCCCGTCATCAGTATCAGTGTGTTGTTCCAGAATAGATGATGGTGTGTCAAGGGATAATCCATGCGTGTGTGTAGACAATGTTGCCGCTGGCAAGGCGATCTCGCTTCCAATAGGAGTTGAACTTGGAGTTGGATGCTTTCGTGCTAACGGGATTGCATCTAAAGTTGCCTGAGGCGAATTTAACATTCCTGCTGATGATGTATCTAACAGTCCAAATCTAGTGAGTTGTCTTTGGCTTTGACTTCGGTCGGTAGACCGTCGTCTTCTTTCTAGACACGTGCGCGCAACGTTGAGAACTTCACGGAGCATCTCAGCGCAGCGACGGGCGACGATGATGTCATCCATAGAGGAGAAGATCTCGAGCGATTTTTCGACGTCTTCGAGGAGCTCGTCGTTTGGGAGGCCAGGGTAATTTGAGAGGATGAGGTGGAGGAGGATCATTGATCCATAGAGGGCGTAGGTTGTGTTGTACCACCTGTGTGAATGGAAATGGGGTTATTAATTGTGCTTTCTCAGGCAAAATGGAGTAGTTAGCTGACCAAGTGCGAATGTAGATCCTATGCATGAACGACTCGTATTGCATATTAATACTCATCCGGGCGGCAGTGAGGCATATGTGTAGATGAGCGCAAAGATCCGGCGGTGGAGTGTCTGTATTTGCAGTTGCTGCCACAAGGAATGGCCTGTGGATTAGGATCCGAGTATTGTAGTATCCTGGACATGAGGTTCGATTAGGCATTCTTTCTAGGATGAATTGAATTGGAAAATTGGGCATGTAGAAGGAAACTCACTCAGCCTCAAGACCAATTTCTGTTTAAATGCCCATTCGGGGTCATTCAGTGCATGTGCATCTATATTTAAGAAAGCCGGCAGTGTTGCTTTCCACTCAAGAAGTCGATGGTCAAGTGCCATAGCCAGACGGGACTTCTCGGTAATTGACCGCTGCATTGAATGGTACAGTTGATGAGATGCTTCAGACATAATTTGGGCTAGCGCGACCATTGCCGGGATCATTGCTATATCGTGGTCTTCAGCATCAGGGTCGAGGTCATCGGCATCAACCTGATTCTGTCAGAATGGCACAGTGTAGATTGAGGAATGGCACCTACTTTTAGCTTGGGGAGGGGGTCTGGTAATAATGTAACTCTTTCATGCTATCCAGACGTCCTGAGGAACAACACATTTCTCTAGAGATCGATGTTAGTATCATTTTCGAGGACTACAACCCTGATGAGATAGACGCTCACATTTCGTGAGAGTAGATACACCTAAATAGAAGCGTTCGTATCTTATTATTTATGCTAGCGTTGGGGTTTGCGACTTACCACCAGGTACGCCTAGCTTCTCTCCTCGTACTAGGAGGCAGAGAAGACATGCTTGAGCCGAGACCAATAGCCGCTGCTGTGCGGACAGCCATCCCGCTGTACATATAACAGCTATGGGGCTGCAGCGAATTTTGACGGAACACACTCTGAGAAAATGTATCAGTCTCCTTCCGATGTGGTATCGACAAGACATACCAAAAGAAGAAGTGTCTGAGCAGTCTCCAAACAGGAACTCTCAAAAAGATCACCGAGCGTCCGTTTTGCGAGGCTGAAAAAGAATTTGGCAAAGTCGAGGGCCGTGAGCCCAGGTCTCCTCTGAGCTTGTCGTGTCCGACATGGATCAGCAAATTGCTGGCAGAAATGCTCTAATAGAGAGGTCTCATTCGGGCTCGCATTGATCGCACCCAACGCAACGACCGCAAAGTATAACCCAGAAAATTTCGTGGCCCCTCGGAAGAGACTCTGGCGATTTGAAATTGGCCATGCTTCATTTTCGCAGCGTTGCATAAAAGCACTCTTAGAAAGTAGCGGGTGGATGTAATGCTTGTTCGCAAAGTAGCTGCCAATGAAGGCTTTCTCGATCTCTATCTGCGTATTATCTGTAAGCCGGTGGAAGGATTCCTCCAGATCATTGCCTTGGTCTGCTAATCATGGTCAGAATCTCATATGGGCTGTGATAGACATTGAAAGCCAAAAGGGGAATCTACCATTATTCATTGGAGGGGTCCTGTTTCTGAGGCCATCTGCATCTGGCGGACTTCTCTGTGTTCCTAAATTTGCGCCCTCATGGGATTGGGGTGAAGAATGGCCAATGCAATCTGCATTGTAAAGCAAATTCACAATTGATAGTTGTGAATTTCCTGATCTCCTGTTACTTTTGTTGGGGCTCGTTTCTGGAGATAAAGCCTGAGACCGGGGATTAGTATATGTTGGTGAATTCGGCATTTTTCGAGGAGTCCGGTCAAAGTGAGTTTGATCTACGAGCTCTTGATTCTGTGCTCTTGCGTATAGATTCCCCAGGAATGCTAGGTTTGATGAATTCCCATAGAATTCAGTCCCATTGGTATGCAGGTTGACCCCGCTTAACCCATCTCTTGAGGCAGCATCACCTAGCTCGGAAATTGAGGCTACAGATGTGGTCAGTTTAGTCATTCTGGGATCGCAGAGGGGCGGTGCTCACTCTGTGAAGCGTCGGGTGACCTAGCCGATGCGATCGTTGCTTGGGGTGTGGTATTGACCGCGTGGGGACGGTCCCTCAACTGGCTTGGATGCTGGGCTAGGGGATATCCCATCGACGGTGGTGTCTTTTCGGTATCATTCGTGCCTTTGGGTGTCTCAATTTGATGTATACCCGGCCATGGAGATGGCCTAGTGCTACTTTGGCTTTGTATTTGGTCAGAGACGCTCGGAAACAGATGTGATAAAAGTCCCAACCTTTGCTTGGGTTCTTCGTCATCTCTCTTCCTTTTATTCGAATTGACGGGGGTTCCGCGCCCGCCAGAAGCGCGGAAAATGCAGTCGAACGAGTGATCTGTCTCTGGGTCAACTACTGTCTCAGTATTTCAAGACGGGGGGTCTAATACATGCACAATAAGAGCAGGGCTGAGCTTGATCGCACTAATAATTGTTAGAGTGGACCTTCCTAAATGGCAGCGAACAACACTGTAATTTCTAGGGTCAGCGGCCTACCTTGGTCTTCCGAGCACGGCAGGTTTCGCATGCCCGCGAGGCCCGCGGCACACGGCGTTGCGAAGCCCATCGCTTGGTTTCTGGCGCGTCCATGTTCATTAAAGGAGATTTCTGTCCTTTGAGAAACGTCTGGGCAGTGATGTCTCCCCTAATCTAATGAGAAAGATGTTGGCCCAAGTGGAACACCCCTTTACCGAACCAATCGTCAATCTTTATCTTCTTCGCCCCACGAGGAATTTTGCGGGGTCTGGGGAAGAAATGAAATGCTATGGCTCGAAACAAATGGAAAAGGAAATGTCATTCAAGGTTTTGATCTCACTACTGGGACATTGGGAGAAACCAGTCACCATATGACAGCTGCTTTCTACCTATTTGTTTACTTATCTACTGGGTTGGAACATATTGGAGTATTGAAGTCTATAACTGTTACTTATTAAATAGTAACATGTTTGAATAACTTTGGAAACGACTTCAAAATATTCCATAACCATATACTGTTCCGACGGAAGATTGCCTTCCGTCGGATAAGACCCGATACCCACGATACCTGTATATATACTTTAGCATCAAATATTGATCACTGATTATCACATATTGAACCTATCTAGTTACCTAGATATGTATACAAATGAGTAATCTAGACTAGACTCTTTACTTATCTTCCCGACATAAGGCGGCAGATAGCGGGTAAACAAGGAAAGTTGATATCAGCTGCTTTTTCCCGGAGTCAATGCACCAAGGTATATAAGATGAGAGTTCTCCTCTTCAATACGACATTTACTATCGGCAATTTCTACTCATATCCTACACTTCTACCACTCATCTTATACTCATTGTCAAACCTCTAATAGTCCCTCTGAACCTTCAAGATGACCTACGATCAGAACATTTTGCGATCTCGCTTTTGTCATGCACTTTCGGAAATGTACAAGAGCGAAGTCCCTCTCTATGGCGATTTAATCGATGTAGTCTGGGAGGCAGACGCAAAAGCAGTCCAAAACAGCCAGAATATAGAAAGTGATGGCGTTATCAACCCAGATGATGTTTTGCCCGCCCGGCATCGTGTTGAGAGACACGGAGCCATCCGACTGGGTACAGCACACGAACTGAATACAGTTCGTCGCATGTTTGCTGTGATGGGCATGCACCCTGTGGGCTACTACGACCTCAGTCTCGCTGGATTCCCCATGCACGCTACGGCCTTCCGACCAAATACCCAAGAGGCGCTCGACAAAAACCCTTTTCGCGTGTTTACAACAGTCTTGCGCATGGAACTGTTGACGGGAAGAACTCGGAAACTAGCGCAGAAAGCGCTGGAGCAAAGAAAGATCTTCACGCCCAGGCTTCTTGTCCTGTTGGATATCGCAGAGAGCCGGGGCTTTTTGACACCAGATCAATGCACAGAGCTCATCAGCAATGGTTTGGAGACATTTCGGTGGCATTCAAAAGCAACAGTCACCCTTGAAGAATACGAGCAGCTCAAAGCTGAGCACCCTCTAGTTGCGGACGTTGTCTCTTTTCCCGGCTCCCATATCAACCACTTAACGCCTCGAACGATTGATATCGATCTTGTACAACAATTGATGTCGGATCATGGAATGCCTGTCAAGGAGCGTATTGAGGGGCCGCCAAAACGATCGTGTCCAATTCTTCTGCGGCAGACAAGCTTCAAGGCACTGGAAGAAATCGTTTATTTCAAGGATCCGTCTGGTTTATATGTGAAGGGCTCCCACACAGCACGATTTGGTGAAGTGGAGCAGCGGGGCTTCGCCTTGACCCGAGAAGGACGCCAACTTTATGATCGAATCTTGGACCGAGTCAATGCAGAAGCCGCGAAGAATGGCTTGGAAGGAAAAGCCTATGACACGTTACTGGGAGAGCATTTCAGAGAGTTTCCTGATACTCTGTCAGAACTTCATGATCTGAGACTGGGATATTTCACCTATCAGTTGACACCGCTAGGCCATCAGTTGGCTAACAAAGGCGTTATATTATTGGAGGGGCAACTATCTCCAATTCCACTTCAGGATCTTCTCAAAAAGCAACTCCTGAGCTATGAGGCTATCACATACGAAGACTTCCTTCCTTTGTCTGCAGGAGGAATTTTCAATTCCAACTTGCGTGGTGTCTCCCAGTCCAAGCAACTGATAATGAGCGCGGATCCAGACCTAGATGGTTTCCAACGGCTCCTTGGGGCATGTGTGGCGGATGAGTTCCATCTATATGCCGCGATGCAACAGAAATCGTTGGAGATTTGCCGACAGAAACTGCGGTTAAAGGCGATTATAGTATAGGATGAAGCACTTTATGTTAACATCGCCTGCTTGAAACCTCTATTTCATTAACCACAAATGTGTTTTTCGGCAGAACATAATTAAGCCGTTCAAATTTTGCGAGGTATTTTCTTGATATTCACGTGTATAGCAGAACATAGTGGATCTATTTGTCTGATATCTTTTATGATATTAGTAGCTCTTCATTCAAAATCGAAAATTCATGTCAAAAAGAAATTCCGCTTTTTCCAACTGTCACCTTGTGAGGTCCCAACCTCTCAAATAGTTCGGGATGTCCAAAGGAACTGATCTCCGATCCCTATCTTTTCATGGTGAATCGAGATTCGCCACTCCAGATGCGGCCGTACTAAACCTCATCCCGCCAAGACCGGTCACCATTTTATGATGCTGATATATTCGGGCTGTGAGGTCATGTCGCCCGATCCGGCCAATATCCTAAATGGATAAAAAAGGAGAGGTTCTACAGAACTATTCACATCGGCTCCAGTTTTCCCAAACTACTCTCTAAATTTCCGCTTATTTCAACTGAATAAATGGGTGTTTGAAATGAGGGACTCACTGGCATAAAACGGGCTTCTTCTATAGCAGATGGAATTGCTTACATGGCATCAGGCCAAGATCCACCCAATAAAAACATCTCATGGCGTATCCTTGTTGGTACAATTATTAGCATTGTCCCCGCTACCATTTGCGTGATCTTGCGGTTTGTTGCCCGCAATGTCGCTCATGCTGGCCTGTGGTGGGATGATTATACCATTGCAGTATCTCTAGTAAGTGGTGCCTTGAGATCTAGTGTTTTAACCATGCAACGAACACGAGTTAACAAGGGTAGGTGGTGAACTGGGCCATGGCTGCTTTACGTTGGGCACAGATCCCATTGTACGATTATGGCCATCACGCTCAATACATATCATCCGAGAAGCGTAAGGGATTTGCAAAGGTATTGCATCAGATCTGTCTATTGATTCCAATTTCTAACAGCCATACAGAGCTTTATGGCTGTCCAACTTCTATACTTCACCAATGCCGTCATTACCAAGGCATCGCTGTTGTTTCTCTTCTACCGCATTTTCGGCGTTGTCAGAAGTTTTCGCTGGATCCTCTGGGCCTCTGGCTTTCTGGTAGTTGCCTACTTTATCGTATGTTCAGTTGTTTCGATTGTGGGATGTTCGCCAGTGTCCAAGGCGTGGAATACAAATGAGCCAGGTCACTGCATCGACGAATTGTCATTCTTCCGCTGGAATGGCGTTGGCAACATGTTCCTCGATTTCCTGGTTCTCTGTCTCCCTATTCCGATGGCTTGGCGGGTGAACACAACGACCCGACAAAAATATATCTTAACCGGGATCTTCCTACTGGGTGGATTGTAGGTTTCTTTCGAATCTCAAGATGAGATATATTACTAACGATGCACCAGTGTCTGTATCGTCTCCATCATTCGCATTGTCAGTTTCGGGTCAGCGGTCATTTCTGACCCTACCTATACAAGCGTCGGGCCGGCAACCTGGTCCTCGGTTGAGCAATCCGTCGGGATAATATGTGCCTGTCTTCCAACGCTGCGACCACTTTTCCGGCGTCTCTATGGCCCATCAAGAGCAGCCTCAAGTAGAGGCCATAGCCCTGCTTTTGATTCTCAGGATTGGTCCTCACCATCTGGCCGAATGTCGCATTGTGATGAAGAAACTAGGATTATTGGATTTGCTTCGCCGCAACAGCGAAAGCGTCGTGCTTCCTCGCACGAGCTAGACGAATTACAGAGTGTTTATCGCAGTCCAACGTTTGATGGAACAAATGAGCGTCCCGATTCGCAATTTTCCCAGACGAATGGAACGAACAGACCGGTTTCTGCAGCCGGGTCATTTGGCTGAGCGATTTTACTAAGGCTTGTTGGTGTTTTGGTGGTCTTTTATTGTGACACCCATTCCCAAAGATATATATCATTGCCTCATTTTATCTCTTATATCCAAAGAATTCTTAGTGGCCTTCCCGATCTTTAGTAGTAAATAGAGAGATATATCATCCATGGGCTAAAAGAGTCAATAATACAAATTATAAAGATATATGAAAAGAAGCTCAACTATATGTTATAGATCATTTGGAAGATAACGACACCTTATAAATGCGGCATCAACGATTCCCCTTGAATGCTTTTCTTGGCCATTCATTTTGATTTGGAGGAAAAAACCCTCAATAATAAATGGTTCATCGGACTTGCCATTCACCAAGTGCTCTTGAATGCCCTAGAGAGCTGTCGCAAGGCTGGATCCATGCAGTCGCGTGCTGGCTGAATGATCGGCATGTTTTCAGCGCGATGCTTTCAGCCTGCGGAGTACTCCGTACGCAACATAGCCATTGTTCTTTCATGACAGAACTCTAAGTCAAATCATCTACTTTAATGATGCTTAGTACCAATATCGTGCCTGCTCTCCTCGCATCATCCCTGCTGGTACTCGCATCGGCAACTTCGCCGAACTTGAATCTATTTGCCTACGGCAATCCGGGACCCTTGCTTGGCACGTCTTTCGGTATTTTAGGCGCGAATGCGACTTTCGACTATGTAGTCGTCGGCGGAGGTAATGCCGGGCTCACCATCGCAAGCCGTCTGGCAGAGAATCAAACAGTGAGCGTTGCAGTCATTGAGGCGGGCGGCTTCTATGAAACTGATAATGGCAATTACTCCATTGTCCCTGGGTATTCCAGCTACTACACAGGCTCAGACCCAACAGACTATCAGCCGCTCATTGACTGGGGATTCAGTACGCAACCTCAACCTGGATCGGGAGGCCGGGTCTTGCATTATGCCCGAGGCAAGACTCTGGGAGGTTCCTCAGCCAGGAACTACATGCTCTACCAGAGGCCGACAGTTGACAGCATGCAGCGCTGGGCCGATGATGTGGATGACCAGAGCTACACTTTCGAGCATTTATTGCCTTACTTCAAAAAGTCTACTCACTATACTCCTCCCAACCAGGCGTTACACAGCAATTCCTCGAACAGCCAGACTCCGGATGCGTTCAGTCCTACAGGTGGACCGCTAGAGGTTTCCTTTAGCAATGCTGTGAATGCGTTTGCAACATGGTGCCAGAAGGCATTTATCGCCCTCGGCATGAAGCAGATCGATGGATTTAACAGTGGTGGATTGCTTGGCTCTGCCTTTGCGACTTTCACCATTGACCCGCGAAACGCGCATCGCTCCAGCTCCGAGTCGAGCTTTCTTCAGGCCGCGTTGAACAAAGGCGTCGGGCCCACAGTGTACAAGAACGCCATGGCCCAAAAGATTTTATTTGACAGCGATAATAAGCGCGCAACAGGGGTCCAAGTATCGACTGCAGGCACCTTTGGCACTGGATCGGTCAACTTTACGCTCCACGCTCGTACTCAAGTCATTCTATCAGCCGGTGCCTTCCAGTCTCCTCAGCTACTGATGGTGTCAGGAATTGGGCCCTGCGACCATCTGCAAAGCTTTGGCATTCCCTGCATCAAGAACCTACCAGGCGTGGGCCAAAATATGCAAGACCACCCAATCATCGGGACTGCACACCGCGTGAACGTCCTCACAGCTTCAGCCTCAGCCAACAACGCAACCTTAGCAGCACTTGGTGTGAAGCAGTACACTCAAAATGCCACAGGGCCCTTTCCATCTTTGGGCCAGGCTACTACGGCTGGGAGAAATTGCCCGACCCATTCCGCTCAAACCTGACTCGCGAATCTCGTCTCGCCCTATCAAATTTCCCACCCGACTGGCCAGAACTAGAATGGTTACCCATCAGTGCATTCAACGGCTATAATCTCAACAAAGTCACTACCGATCCGAAGGATGGACATCAATATGCAACCCTCAGCGGAGCATTGGTTGCTCCTCTATCTCGCGGTTCAGTCCGTCTCGCTGGCCCCAGCATGAACACCCCGCCCTTGATCGACCCGCAATGGTTTACAGACCCAACCGATATAGACCTTGCTATTCAGGCCGTCAAGCGACAGCGGGATATTTGGACGGAATTGGCTAAACTAGGCGTGGCCGAGCACGAGGAGTATTTCCCAGGCTCCAATGTTTCCACTGATGCTCAGATTCTTGAGTTCATTCATCAGAGTATGACTACTGTTTACCATGCATCAGCGACATGCAAAATGGGACGCGAGAATGACACGATGGCTGTGGTTGACAACCATGCCAATGTGTACGGTATGCAGGGGTTGAAAGTTGTCGATGCCAGCAGTTTTCCATTTCTGCCGCCAGGTCATCCCCAATCTATCGTGTATGCATTTGCTGAGAAGATTGCGGATGAGATATTGCGCTTTGTTGAATAAAACCCAGCGTGGATGCGATGGACCCAAGCAGGCCCAAGCACTGGGAAGAGCCTTTGTAAAGATGTCCTACACTAATGCAATAAAGAGATGTTCTGAAAAAATTCAATACTATAGAATACAATGCATACAGAGAACAGCCCAAATCCATCTATCTGTACAATATGCCGCAGAGATATCAATGCGTCGCGGCAAGACAATTACCAACAGCCCAAAGATCAGACCATATCTCGACTAGTACTGTCAATACCTCGAGCCACTGTCGAATAATGGTCCGGCATCACATTTTCGGCTCAAAAAAGCTTCTCCCAAACACCGAACAACCCAATTATGACCGGGGTTCAATTACTGAGCTGTCCTCTGAGTCTTCCACGACCACCGCGCCTTCCGCCAACAACTCATCCGGCGTCTTCACCCGCACATCCATGACACGCATGAGCGTGTAGCGGTGCTTGCTCTTGGCCTGCTTCACGTGTCTTTGTCTCCGCTTTGTCTTCTCCTTGATGCGCAGCGGCTCTGCATCCACACCCGTCACACGAACCCGGCACTCATAGATACGCTCGTCGATAGTCGGTGAGCCCTTCATTGTGAAGTCGCGGGATCCAAGTGCCGAGGCACGGTTAAATCGCAGAATATCTCCCGCCTTAACCTTGGGCATAAGGAAGGGCAACCGAATGTGATCACCTTCGGTCAAGAGGTATGGTCGTGCGTGCAATTGAGCGACGACGTAGTGCGGCTTCTGGCCGGCAAGGTGGGGGAGCTGTGACATGAGAGATTTTGTCACTTTGAGAGGGGAGGTGAAAGTCGGGGCAACGGGTTGTTTCGCAATGGGGACGTGTGCGCGTGTTTGGGGTGTCATGATGTTTTCGTCGAAGCTGGAGGCCGTGACGCCCTGGTGAGTCTTCGGTTGGGTATCTTGTGCCCGAGGAGTGGCGCTTAGAGGTGATTCAGGATGACTGGATGCCGATTGGCTCTGAGGTTGTTGCGAATTCATCAAGGACGCACTTTGGTGAAGGCATGCTCGTTGCTGCAGGGGAGCTGCGGATGAAATTGTAGACGGCGCAGTCCAGCGCAGTTCGGAGGCGAGGCCCCGTAGAGCAGAGCGTGAGAACATGTTGAGTGACCGCTTGCCAATGCTCAATGATCGAGAGTGGAAGTAGTTTGCGGTGGTTGATATTCAAGATAGAAGAGCGGCTTCCCCGTAGCTAGAGAAATTCACGACTTGCGCAAATGGCCGCTTTGTCACCCGTAATATCACGTGATGTTTCGATCCGACTTGAAGATGCAGATTTGTAGAGAGGAGAGACAAATATTATGATAGTAAATTATAGAGAAAGTCCTACCATCTTAAACTTTCAAGTGCTACTGTTTACCTCCAATTTTCTACTATTCTTCGGCCTTTCTTCTTTTAATCTGTACAAGTTGAAGTCCAGAAACGACCTTACCGATAAGGAGCGTCACGTGCCTCGCTATCTTTTCCGCATCACAACTTTTTCGGTCTCGATTAGATCTTCAAGGCAAGAACTTCATCACCCATTCACCTCGTGTTGTTCATTCTTCGTTCATCATGGTATGTTATTAATGATTTTACAGACTCTCAATGTCCAATTTTATTAATTTACTAACCTTTTTTCTACCTACAGCCTCAGAACGAGTTCGTCCCTCCCCACCAGCCACCACCCGATACGATCTCCAACTGACTTTTTCCACCAGGTATATCGAGCGCTGGCAGAAGCAGCATGGAAAGCGCCTTGATCACGATGAGCGCATGCGCAAGCGTCAGGCTCGTGAGGGACACAAGCAGTCCCACGATGCCCAGAACCTGCGTGGTCTGCGGGCCAAGCTGTACCAGCAGAATCGCCACAAGGAGAAGATCCAGATGAAGAAGCGTATCAAGGCCCAGGAGGAGAAGAACGTCAAGTCTGCCGCACCCGACGAGCCTTCCAAGACCCCTCTGCCCCAGTACCTGCTCGACCGCTCGCAGGAGACCAACGCCAAGGCCCTCTCCAGTGCTATCAAGAATAAGCGTAATGAGAAGGCTGCTAAGTTTGCTGTCCCCCTGCCTAAGGTCAAGGGTATCAGTGAGGAGGAGATGTTCAAGGTTATCAACACCGGAAAGAAGACCCACAAGAAGGCCTGGAAGCGTATGATCACCAAGCCTACCTTCGTTGGTAGCGACTTCACCCGTCGTCCCGTTAAGTACGAGCGGTTCATTCGTCCCATGGGTCTGCGTTACAAGAAGTGTAATGTCACACAGTATGTTTTATCTTTGGGGAGAGAATGCTCGCCCTCCGGTTTCTTTAGGTTGGATATGGTATATTGACTTTTTCTTCTTCAGTCCCGAGCTGGCTGTCACCGTGCAACTCCCCATCCTGTCCGTCAAGAAGAACCCCCAGAACCCTCTCTATACCCAGCTGGGTGTCTTGACCAAGGGAACAATCATTGAGGTCAACGTCTCCGAGTTGGGTCTTGTTACCACTTCCGGTAAGGTTGTCTGGGGTAAATGGGCCCAGGTGACCAACACCCCTGAGAACGACGGTTGTGTTAATGCGTGAGTTGCCTTAATCATTCCTGTTGCTTATGTTGTATCTGGAACTAACCTGAAATAGGGTCCTCCTTGTCTAAAATGACCACAAGCACTTCCTCTACATTCCCGGCAGGCACTCGCCTGTCTTCGATACCTCCATGCTCAGGCAGTTCTATATTTTCCTTTCTTGATACATACGGTCTATCAAGACAGTTCTATTCTTGGGCGGTGTTAATGGCGCAAAGTCAAGTCCATTGATTTCAAACAAAAAGTATTCCACATGTTTGGCTTCTGAATGGACATAGCTAGTTTTTAGATAGTCAGGCATTTATCAACTATGATTTTATGAAGACAAGCAACATCTACATCGGTTTTACATTGTAAGATATCATAAGATCAAAGATCAAAGACTTGATCCAATTTCCAACTAGTTCACAGGATGAGAAATACTGTATCCACGTAATGAAGATAGGCAAAGGTTGTCAATTAAACATCTTGACCAAATAGGGAGATATTGTCACTCCAAGAAAGCTGATACTGGAACAGTATACATCTGGATGCAAGAGAAAAGATGAAAAGGCTAATGAAATCATGTACTGGAATGAAAATCCACACGCTGCGCTGAAACCGAGATTCGTCAAGAAATACCCACCACAAGACGACATGGTTGGGTGTGACAAACACCCCGAAGGGTGATGCACAAAGAAAAAGAAGAGACAATGCAAAGAAACACAGACAGTCAGATATCCCGCAAATTAACCAACCAGACCCAGACAGAAAAATATCACATCCAACACCAGTCATTAAGTCGTCCTAACCAAAAAGGGAACATGAGAAAACGCCGATAGGGCAGTCAAGACAAAGGAAATAAAGTGAAAGGAGTGGTTGGGTGTTGTCATGCGTTTTCTTCTTCAAGGGCTGCTTTGATTTTTGCAAAGAAGCCTGCAGGCCAGGCAGCTAGCTCCTCTTCTCTGGGTACACCACGGGCCTTGCAGTGATTGACGACGTTGGCCAGGATACGGCCAAGCATATCCTGGGTGACTGGAACAGCACCCTCAAGCTGGGCATCGGGGTGCAAGAATGGATCGCGCGGGCCAAGCATCTCCTCAATAGTTGGTCGGAGAGTCTGGTCGCGTTGCAGACAGCGCTTGAGAGTCCGAACAAGGCCAGGGGGCACTGGAATGCCACCGACGCCAAAGGCCGGGAAATCAATTTGTACACGGGGGTTGGGAATAGCCATGATGCGTTCATAATATTTTGCGATCTTGGCGAATGGTGGTTGTCCGTAGACCATCTTGTACAGAATACAACCCAAACTCCAGACATCGCTGGGTTTTCCTAATTTCATAACTTTTCCAACACTTGCAGGCAGACCAAGGGACACGTTGGAATCAACCAATGCTTCAGGGGACATGTAATTGGGTGTGCCGACTTGCTGTTCACGATGAACGTTGACTGTGTTATCTTGGATTGCATTTGCAATTCCAAAGTCGATGAGCTTCAGTCGGCCTTGAACCATGAGGAAGTTGGCCGGCTTCAAATCTGAGTGGACGATGTTGTACTCGTGGACAGCTTGGACACACTCGAGCATCTCCTTCCAATAAAATCGGGTAAAGTTGATATCAAAAACTGCATCTTCGGCGTTTAAACGGTATGTGAGAATCTTTTCAAGATCAGACTCTCCAATCTCCATGAGCACGCTAAGAGCATGTTTGTCATTGTTCAGCTCCCAGTCAAACAAGCGCACCACACGGTCCACATTCTCCAACTTTTTCAACAAGTCAATTTCACCCTTGTATCCAGTCAAAGTCACTGGATCAACATCTTCAAGATTGACACGCTTGAGAGCGAAGATCTTGTAATTCTCTGCCATCACTCGATACACACGCGAGCTACCGCCTCGGCCAATGCAATCGAGCCGAGTGAAATGCTTGCCATTAATCGAGACTTGACTCCTCTTTTTTCGTGATTGTGATGTTGATGCGCCTCCAGTGGAAGTAGCAGTCTCAAGGACTGACATTTTCGGAGGAGGAGGAGCGGCCCTATGAGGAGTGTTATTGCTCCGTGTGGCAAGTATTTTTCGCGCAGAGTTGGTTGCCGGAGTCTCCGCTACATCCTTCTTCTCGGTGTCGTAAACAACATTATACTTTTCGGGCTTATCCAGCACATTCAATCCTTGGGGCTTTGTACGCCGGAAAGTTGGTGGTGGTTCATTCTCTTGGTCACGGACCGAGGGCAAAGCCGGTATTGAAGGAACCTTGAATACAGGTTGTTCCTTCGCAATCGAGGATTTGGAAGACATTTCTGATGAAGCGGGGGTAGACTTTGAGCCATATGATTTTGGTGAAGATGACCTCGAAAACGGTCCTTCAACCTCAGCAGGGCGGAGAGGGTATTCCCGTCGATTGGAGTCACGGACGAGAGGCGGACTTGGGTCAGCCCATGACACCTTGGGAGATGAAGGTTTGGCTGGGTTGCGAGGTCGATATTCGGCATTTTCCTCCTCTCCTTCGACGTCCTCCCGGACGCCGTCAGGCGACAGATATTGGTGGTTTTCCTCGTTACTTTCCTCGCTCTGACGTCGTAATACACCCCTCCGGGCTGGGCCGTTCAAGAAAGTGCCAGCAAGTCGACCAACCCGCTTGACGCGGAGAGAGCTGTGCGGAGCGATTTCTTCGCCGCCGCGGCCCCTCGATGCGGAATATCGTAACGCTGGGTCGTCGTCATATTGTGATTTCCGATCACTATCTGAGCGATCTGCACTACCATACTCGTCGCCCGAATTGCGTTCCGACGAGCGGTTTCCTGAAGGTGAGGCAGAGGCAGGGGATCGAGTGTTGCTGCGTGAAGCGTTGATACGAACACTGCGTTGTCGTGGGGCGGGGGTGATAAAATCATTTGGGCGGCTGTGATACTCTGGCTCTGCACTCTGGCTATTTGATAGTGGGGAGCCTTCACGTGAGAATCGAGAATTTGATGAGATGGCCCCTATACGAACGACTCTGGGAGCCGGGCTACCATTAGATGAGTCGTGTGGGGAAGAAGTCCGGGGTGAGCGGCTTTGCTGTCTTGATGTTCCAATTCGAGGTTCGTGCGATATGTGTGCCTTTTGCAGATGAGGCGAAGAACCTAATCCGTCTCCATGCAACAATGCTTTTACAGAAGCGCTGAATTTAGGTTCCGGGACCTCTTCGTCGGAGCTATCACCCGAGTAATGTTTGGGCAAAGCTGATGGAGATACCCGTCTGGAACCCGAGCGTGAAACCGCGGATCGGGACATCGGTCGGGGCTGCCGGTACAGCTCGTTGTATGCTGGGAGGGAATTCGGGGACTCCATGGCGATAATACCTACATTGAAGTCGTGGATCAATGTGGCCCCTCCAGAGTTGTCGATTGTTTTGTTGATCCTGGAGAAAGCTTGGTCTTGAGGTTTCGTCGCGGGCGCGCTATACAGTCACGTGTTTGTTGTTGCTATGGCAACGTCGACACCACAACATACCAGAGAACATTGAAAGAATTGATTTTGGACTGGAAGAATATTTCAGAACACAAAGGATGGATAATAGTTGAATCTGATAATACCTCAGTTTGCTTTGGTAACAGTGTTCTTGTACCTCAAGTGATTCAAAGGCTGCATACTCCGTGCTACATATAGGATCGGCCGGATAACCTCCACCTACTATACTATACGTCCACGGAACTATAGACTAATAGACTAAACTTGGTAATGTTGTCTATAATGCTCTAGGAGATCTTTTCGCATGAATTAAATTTTTTATTAAGTTTCAATATCAAAGTACCCGAACGAAAATCATACAAAAGTGTCTCTTTAGGTTGCTGGAACCCACTATGATTCCACATATATATATGATTCTTTTGAAGACAATGCAAAATTGTGAAATATTCTCTATTTATATAACCATAAAGTGCTGTATCTGTGTATATTTATAATTATTGTTATCACTTTATGCCTATAAAAGTCCTTAAGAGCTCTGCATAACTATGTAACTGTATGTACCGGATTTTAGGCCACGGTCGCGAATTTCCCGATCGGGGTGCCGCCGCTTTTATGAGGGCGCTCAGGCTCCTGCTCACTGAGTATTTCACAGCACGGGTGATCACTGTGAGCACTTAGGGTATACTTAGTAATGTAAAAAATATTGCTCAGTGAGCGCTCAGGGTATGCTCAGTGAACGCTCAGGCTATGCTCAGTGAGTGCTCAGGTCTGTTCAGTGAACACTCAGGTTTGCTCACTCCAGGCTTGTAATTCTAATAGTTCTTCCATCGGTCCGCCTACCAAGCTCGGAGCGGACGATCAAAGAAGGGAAACTGAGCTATTCTTGAACCAATAAAGTTTTCTGGCTTTTCACATTTTGTTTCTTTTACTGTTAGAAATATGCGGGTCCAATAGAGATTACGGAAGAGTATCTGACATCAGGATGAGTCGTTCATCAGGTAGACCTCAACTTTAAGGATAATCTTCCCCCATCTCTCTATTCTCTATACCCGAGACGATGACCTAGTCTTAACTAGCATACGGCTTCTGCGGTCAACAAAAGCTCAACATGCAATCTGCGGACAAGCCGACTCGATCAGAAATTGACTTGGCCTTGCCTGGAGAGAAAACTCAAGATGAAATCAAGATCGAAAAGAGTGGAGATATTGATGCTCTTCAACGGTATCGGTGGAACATGGTTAGAAAAGCGCCATCCTATGTTGGTAGAGCGATTGAGCTTCTCCGGATAGAACAAGACCTCCGAAATACTGTCCAGGAAGAGCAATGCCTCGCCAAGAAGCCTGAGGCCACAGGCAGCTGGCTACTCTATAGGAATGATGTACAGGCCGTGCTTCAGGCTTTGAAGAAGAGATATTGGTTGCTGGAACTCCAGTGGTGGAAAGTCCGAAACTCATTCGTGGAGGGGCCACTGATAAGAGCATTTGATCTGTGGCGATCACATCCTCTCTGGTATATGCACCGAGTTTTGTTCGAGGATTGCGTGAGGAAGGGGGGATGCTGTAGCCGTGGCTGTGGATGTTGCGCTAATCGCAAGATTGATAAAACACGACAGCTTGGAGCTGGACATTGTATGGTGGAATGTGGATGTTGTCACCAGGCTCGGGGGTTTGAGCTTACCAAAAAAGAAAAGGAGGAATTCCTTAGGGATTTCCATATCGTGGATGACAATAGCTTTTACCGCCAAAGGGTCAATCGAGCTTCGATATGGGGGTTATCTCTTGACAGTCATGACAGCCCTTTTGATCTGATTGTAATGCCCCCAGGATACGAGAGCGATGTTTCAAAAGAGCAGACGAGAAGAGGCAAGGCGGACCAATTCGATGAGCCATTCATGCTTATTGACGAAGAGGACGAGGAAGAAGTTGTGGTACCTTAAGTGTCAGTGTCAGGCCACTAGGTGCCTGCTTGCTAGTTTGAGGTTTTATTGTGCAATTCAACTCTTTCTTTTGGCTTCGAATCCCCTGATCTAAACTTGCAGTCGTTCCCGAAGTCCAACCTCCACACGCTTCCTTCCTATTTAGACTCGACTAACCCGTAACCCGCCCCGTAACCCGCGCGGGTAACCCACACAGGTTCCCATAAAAACCCATAGCTATATAATTTTCCTAATTAAGCTATAGCGAAGTATATAAAAATACTAATTTATACATAAAATATAGTAATCTATAGCGGTTTTATGTTAGGGAACTGGCCTAGTTGAACAACTTAGGCGGGTTTGAAGGACAAGAAGGTTTCGTTAAGGAGAGAAGTTCTCCTGAGCTAACAAATAAATACATGTTCCGTTGAAGGCGGTAACGTTTGGCAGAATCCGCGCCGCATAAGCAAGCATCTCATATCGGGCTTCGTCCCGTAACAACATAGGTTACCCACACGGGTTATGGGGCGGGTTACGGGTTGGTCGAGTCTACCCATTGGGTTTGCGGGTTCGGGTTGCGGGTCGACTTCTCTTACCTATTCTCGGGTTTTGGCGTAGTCTAGTTAGTAGGTATGATCGATAGGTTTAGAATATTTTTACGGATATCTATCGCTAGAGCTAAAGTCATATTCCTAGGAGCAAGCGGTAGGTAGTATAAGCGATAGTCCGTTAAAAAATCAACTAAAAAAAAATCAGAATAAAATACTAAACTGGATTTATAAACCATTTAACTGGGGTTTTCTGAGATATTCCTAGATATTGTAGAACCAAAAATAGAGGGTTAGATATTTTCCGTAACTATATAGAGCTCGGCGAGGTTGAATAGTGGTATAGGCGCAGAATAGTAAAGCTAATAATGTGGCCCCGCTGTGCATTTGCCTTCTAGGTAGAGGCATAACAACTAGGATCGACCGCCAAATTAATGACACCAGCCTTTCGTTGAGGGGACAACGGTCAAGAGTGCTGGGTGAACGACTGCATTTAGATGGGGCTAGCGTGGTGCATTTTATTGAGGTGACCTGCTGGCTTAGCTGCTCTCCCACTTTGCTCAGGCTGCTCAGGTGACGCCCAGTGAGCAAGTCCTTGAGCTTATGTAATAATCAGGTCACGCTCAGTGAGTGGGATTAGGCTGCTCAATGAGCAAATCAGAATGCTCAGGTCACGCTCAGTGAGTGGGATCAGGCTGCTCAGGTGACGCTCAGTGAGCGAGTCATCTAGCTTATGTAATAATCATGCGATGCTCAGTGAGCGGGTTTAACGATTACGTAATACACAGGGGCGTGCTCGGCTTTACTCAGTGAGCAAAAAGCGGCAAGGGGTGAGCACTAAAACGGAAAGGGAAATCCAACTTGCCCGGCCTAAAATCCGGTGTATATGGACATATATGGTAAGTAGCTATCCATGAGGGCAGAGACATATATACTTCACGAACAAAGATAAGAAAGCAACGTATAGCACACCATTGTTTCTTATCCATTTATTCTAACACGACACAAGAAAAAACAGAAAAGACTATAAGCATAAATGTTAGCCACTTACCATAGTTAGGTAGTATGGGGTTGTACCTGCCAAAACAGGCAACTGGCGAGTTCACCGCCTTGGAAATCAGGCGACGAGATACGGCACTCCCGAGCGACCACAAGTGCAGTTTCGATCACCGCGGCATCTATCTCGCGTTTGATCGCCATGGACCTTTCTACCATCACTTCAAATCCTAGCAAAAATGGCGTCTAGCGTGGATGCAAAGCTGATTCGGCGGACCAAGTTCCCCCCTGAGTTCAATAAGAAGGTGGATATGACCAAGGTGAATATTGAGGTTATGAAGAAGTAAGTGGCTTTCCCCGGCGTTTTTTGGGTATCTCCGGTTTACTGACATTGCTTTTTTTTTTCCCACCCGTAGATGGATCGCAAGTCAAATCTCCAAGATATTGGGGAATGAGGATGACGTCGTTATCGAGCTCTGTTTTGCACATCTCGAGGGACCACGCTACGTACGTTGGCCCGTCGGATATCTAGCGTCTCGACCCTAGTTTGCTGACACCTGTCTCTGGTTCTAGCCCGATATCAAATCTCTCCAAATCCAACTCACCGGATTTCTAGACAAAGATACCCCCAAGTTCTGCCAAGAGTTGTGGTCGTTGTGTCTAAGCGGCCAGGCCAATCCACAGGGCGTCCCGAAGGAGCTCCTGGAAGCTAAAAAGCTTGAGCTCATACAAGAGAAGGTGATAGTAAGCGCGCCCTCGACCTTGGATATTTTCTAACCACATTACCATATAGCTCGAGGCCGAGAAAGCTGCCGAAGCACTTCGACGTCAAAGGGAACAAGACCAAAACCGCGAACGAGAGTTGGACGATGTGAGACGGCGTGAGCGACCGGATCGCGGACGTGGAGGAAGAGGTGGTGATCGTGGTGATCGCGGTGGCCGTGGAGCTCGATCCTTCGGAGGACGAGACTTCAACAGACGACCTTCGCCTCCCGGAGACCGAGACCGCAGCCGAGACCGATTCCGTGACCCCCCAGCTCGACGTGACTTTGATTCATACGTGCCGCCTGGTAATCGTCGCGGCCGGCGTCCATCCAGATCTCCACACGGCACTCGTTCTTCATCTCGATCCCCAAAGCCCTCGTCACCATCGCGCCGAAACCGCGACGAGCCACGCCACAGACGACGCGAACGCCGGCCCCGTTCCCCAAGCAATTCAGTATCTCCCGATCGACGCAACCGCGGAGGAGCGAGAAGGCGCAGCAGTCCGGACTACGGTGACCGTGTTAAAGCAAGACCCATTTCCCGCAGCCGTTCCCCGCGCTCACGTTCCCCCAGAGGAAACCGCCGCCGACGAAGCTCCGTTTCTCGCAGCCGCAGTGTATCCTCGCCGCCTCACCACACCCGGCGCCAGGCAGACTCTCCCAAGTCCGTTTCTCCCGCGATGTCCCGCCGCTCATCTGGACGCTATGCCCGAGACCGCGATTCTCGTCGCTTGAGCCGCAGTCCTGACAGTGTCGGTACACGTGATCGTGATGAGAATCGTCGACGCCGCAGCCCCAGCGGTGGTCGGAGCCGTAGCCGCAGCCGTAGCCACAGTCCCAAGAAGGATACTGACGGCAAGCGGCGCCACTCTATGGAAAGATACAACCCTGATGAGAAACGACGCAAGATGGCTGATGAGAACGATGACTCCACCCGACCCCCGTCGAAAGCTGATGAACCGTCCAAAGCTGACGACAGTGAGACAAAAACAAAAGATGCCGAGCAGGTTGGTCATTAAGAATTGAGATTCCTGGTGCAACCTTCAATTTGTATCCTCTACCACCCAGATCCAATTCCTACTTAATGTTCGTCTAAAAATTTCACATGTCATGTTGTTTCTGAAGTTGCTATGTTGAATCGGATACTAACGAGCTCACAACAATTAGACCAAGAAAAATCTTTCTGTGTGGATACATTCAACTGAGTTTCGTGAGAGATTACTTCGTGAGAGATATCTTGCTATGCGTCGCCAGTCTGGCGAGAAGCCGAGCAGTGCCTCACAATCAAAGCAGGACTAAACGAGAACACCAAAAATCAGTGGAAGGGATTAACACTCTTAACACTGACCATGTGTGACTGGAACTTTGAGATTTACGCCAACGAAATGTGTGTTTTAGCGCTGTACATGTACATTGTAACAATTCCAATAACCTTTATTTAATCATGATTGACGTGCTTAGGTTTAGGAGATTTAAGACATGAAATATGTCGCTGAAGTAGTTCAAAACAGCCAAAACAATAACACAAATGAATGTACTCTATTAGAGGGAGGTAAGGTATATATGCTCAAGTCATTAGTTAAGAAGGGATCTTCAGACTACCAATATTCGCCGGGAGATGCTGTCAATGCCTAGGTGAACCCAGAACCATAAATAAGAACACCAGAACATGCGGGATAAATGCGGTATACACGATGGACAGGGTCTTGCAATCTCCACACAAGCCTATGATCATCAGAGTTAGATATCTACAAAAACGCCCGAGGCGGAGAGCAGATCATAGGGTGGGATGGACAGGGGTATCTTGAGCATAGGAAGCCACATTGACACCCCACGAATGTTGAAAATCATCTTGTCATGAAAAGGAAGAAAATAAAATGGAGAATTAACGTAGTTGATGAAGGAGATTCTATATGAGACCTTCTAGGGTCGTGGCTTCGGGATATGTCTAGGTATGGTCTGCTTTACTCGCAACCGCAGACGGTGGCAGTCACAGTCACAGTCTCGGTGACCTTATCGGACCCAGTGTTACCACCGGAGGGCAGGTTGGGAGGGCTGGTAGGGGCAGGGCCGGAAGGAACGAGCACGCCGGTGGTGGTACCAGCCGGGCCGGAGGGAGCTGGAACACCGGGGATCACGGTCGAGTTGATGATCTCGGAGGTCTCGGTCTCGCAGGGAGTGGTGGTGGCAGAGGGGCCGCTAGGGGCGGGACCAGTGGGAGCAGGACCGGTGCCGGTGGGGGCAGGGACGGAGACGGTTGTGGTGCCCGATCCGTGGGGGCCGCCGGGGATCACAGTGGAGTTGATAATCTCCGAGGTCTCGGTGTCACACGGGGTGGTAGTGGCAGAGGGGCCGCTAGGGGCGGGGCCAGTGGGAGCGGGACCGGTGCCGGTGGGCACAGTAGGGATGGTGACAGTGATAGAACCGGAGCCGTTAGGACCGCCAGGGATCACGGTGGAGCTGACAACCTGGGAGGTCTCGGTGTCACATGGGGTGGTGGTGGCAGAGGGGCCGCTAGGGGCAGGTCCAGAGGGAGCAGGTCCGCTGGGGACGAGGGTGCCGACGGGAATGGATACAGAGACGGAGGCACCGGGACCGGAAGGCACAGCGGAGGTGCCGGGAAGATGGGGGTGGGGGGTGCTGGACGGCAGGCTGGGAACGGAAGACGAGGCAGGGCCAGAGGGAGCACCGGGGATGCTGCAGCCGGTGAACCACTGGAGGATGATGATCTGGATGCTGATATCGATGTCAATGGAAGTGCAGCCACCAAGGAAGGCAGCGAGCTCAGCACGGGCGTCCAAGGTCAGGCCAGTGAGGCTACCGCCGGCAGCGCAGAGGGAAAGGGCACCACGGAGGTCAACGCTGAGACCGGTGAGGAGGGTACCGGTCAGGATATCGGTGACATGGCCAAGAAGGCCGCCAACAAGGCCAAGGGAAACGGAGACATCAGCCTCGACAGCGAAGGACAACCAAAGAAGGACGACGGCCTTGAGTTCAACGCCCAGGGCGCAGTCGGCGCCGGCGAGCCAGATGGCGAGCTTGGTGCGGATGTCAAGGTCCACCGCGACGGCGAGCTCGCCCTTGGCGCATGCCTCGAGAGCGAGCTTAACATCAGCAGCGAGATCAACGGAGAGATCCAGACCCAGGAAGGCAGCGAGGGAGGCCTGGCCGCCAACGGACAGGAGACCAGACTCCTCAATGTGCACGCCGACGGAAGCACCGACGGAGATGGTAGAGAGAGCGGTCTCAGCAAGAGCACCAATCTCAACAAGGTCGCCACCAGCATGACCGTTGATCCAGGCAAGGACCGAAACCTTGAGGTGAGCGCTGAGGTCACAATCCTTGCTGTTGATCCAAGCAAGAAGGGCAGCCTTGATGTCAGCCGATAGACTGGCGACAACACCACCAGCGGCGCAGACATTCAGACCGACCTTGACGTCCAAGTCAAGATCAAGCTTAGCCTCGATCCAAGCGGAAAGGGAGACTTGAGCACCAATGCTCAGGACGAGAGCAGACTCGAGGCTGGAGGCCTCAAAGATACCGTCAATGGTCACGTAAAGCTGGCCCTTGGCAGCGATGTCGGCACATCCGGGGATGTACACGGACAGAGCAGCCAGAACGTCTGCGGAGAGGACGAGCTCGTCGTTACTCTCACACCAAGAGATCAGTGTCTTCTTGAGGGAGAGGTCAAGCTCCGCGTGGAAGAGCAACCAAAGCTTGAGGGCGGCCTTGGCCTTGTGGTCGATAGCACCGGACTTGCAGCCGAGAGCACCACCCCCGAGAGCGGCAGCAGCCTCAGCACTCAGACCGGCAAGAAGGTCAACGGAGTTATGGCCACCGAGGACGGCGCCAAGGATAGCAGTCACGTCGACAGTGATATCGCCAAGGAGCTCACCGAGGAGACCTAGGGTACGGCGCTCAACGGCCAGATCGGTAGGGTAGGCGAGAGCCGTGCCTGCCAGGCCGGCAAGCAGAACGAGGGAAGAACGCATGTTGAGTTTTGTGTTGTATTAATGAGTGTATGGGCCACAAGATATTGGGAGTATAAAGACTTCTGAACAATATACAGAAGTGAGAGATTGGACAGGCAGGCACAAGCCGCCAAAACAATTAACGATAGACTGGTAGAAGTGAAAAGAGAAAAAAGACAGTTGAACGATTGAAGATCCAGCAAAGAGATGATCGCCTTTGTTTATATACCCCTGATCAACTGTGAGCCGGGATGCTTCTGGGCATTCAAGCCACATCGGGACAGATACTGATTCTACTCCATACGGAGTACGGAGTACTCTCCAATTTCACATTTGGAGCTATCGACTAGACTTCAGGGATAGGAGACTTGGATGTTGCCCAGGTGGATCATGACTCCAGTGGGCTAACAGGTGCATTACATTGTGGACCCCCCGAGCTATTCTTGGTTAGAGAGAGTTACAGAAGGTATCACATTCTCTTACTCGGGAGTAAATCTGAATCTCAACTACATGGTCGAGGTACATTCATTTGGGAGCCCTGAAAGAGCCCCCTTAAAACGGAAAATAAAGAAAGAAAAAAAAGAAAACATAAAAAAAAAGAAAGGTGCCAGGTCGTAAGGGGAAACAATCATCGCGGATCATCACGCGAAAGGGATCAACATTGATTTAACGGTTAAGACGTTTAACATCCGACTTTTTGTATCAATTGGAGTCAACCCCTTTCTATCTCCAATTCAACTATATTGTATTCCGCTCACGATATACTACAATCAGCACTCCAAGCTCAAGTACCTGAATCTCAACCTAAGAAGTGTATGCGATATCCCGAGTGGCCCGTTGTAACCCTATCTCTCACAGCCTCGGGGAATTAGTCCAGGCATATTGTATGCACGCTGTGGACCATATTAGGGAAAGATGGACACGTCCGATTCCGTTGAACACACAAGACCTATCAAATTCAAGATATCAATGATTCAAAGCCGTTGACGGCCTGGGCACCTGTCAGCCACCAACTGAATTTTTGGTCTGCTCTTTGAGGCAATGTACAATGATACTCCAACGTGAGAGACTTTCCCAAAGTATACAGGATAAGTACAATTACATTCGAGTTGCGAAGAGTAGACCGAATAATACATATAATACTACAGCCGACACCAGCAGTTGAACCTGCTTTTCCAGGGTTTGCTTAAGACAGAGCTACAAAAACACAAAAACAAGGATAGCAGCATCTAGGCCTTGTCAGCGTGCACTAGTCAAGACACTACTTAGTCGGGCTTGGAATATGAATGGAATATGAGGTTATGCAGTTCGCGCATGGGAGAATCTCCACTTGTGGATTGCATGCCAAATAAGAATAATCTATTAAAGATAGATTAATATCAAAACCACGCTAAAGATTAGTGTCTAGAGTGGAGAATTATCCCTTAAACTTGTAAAATTGTCTCTAAACTATGTACTTTAGTCTGATTATATAGCGTGAATCATACGGTTGATAAAGGGTTAAATAGAAATGATAGGAAATCTCCTATTAAGCAGACTACCTGTTCTATAACGCTAAAAGCCGACACTTGACCTCGGGAACTGGTTCGGTTTTGACAAATTATTTGGAGGTAAGAATTCACGCTCAATGAGAGACATATTGAAACAAACTACTATCGTCTAAAATAGCTTGGAAAATTATAAAGAGTCCGGTAGTGTAGTGATCTGCAATCCAATGTCTCACCCCACGCGGACAAGCCCCACGAGCACTACAGCGCATGTGATGGGAAGTTCTCTCAAGTGGATAACTTTCACTTGGAAATTGCGATCGGGCTGATTTATAAGAGGCGAGATGTGGGACTGCAAGCTGCCGACGGTTCAATGCATCTTTGCTTGGAGAAAATAAGGAATCAAATTTTGGAAATGCAGGTAAGCCATCCGAAAAATTCTTATTCGAAGGACATTCACAAAGTACGTGTTTTCATCCGAGAGATGGCCATCCTACAATAATTCTACTTCCACTGAATATTTGAGATCGGAAGTACAATATCTAGAACAAAGAAAACTATTCCAAAACATACTCTCAAATACTATAGGGTTTAACTAGTCCAACGCCTCTCCTTAGTTGCGATATAGTCTTTTGCTCGGAATAATTGAGAATAGTCTCCAAATTATAGCGACGATGTGATACCTAATCTGTTAACCAGAACAAGCAAACGCTAGAGCTTGTGATATCGAAACCGCAAAACGTGGAAAACCGTTAAATCCATACTTTTTTCGATCTCTCATATATCGAGGTATATTCTCCACATCCCCTTCGGAGCATGTCGGATGTTTTCCTCCCCGTTAAGAAAAAAAAAAAAAAGGTTCGAACATGTTCGAACCTGACAATGCTCAGATCCACGATAGGAACTTTAATCATTCTCCTTGAAACAGTTGCTATTTTTGTTTTTATCGACTACTACACAGTGACCCACCAGTTGACGGCAAGATCGGGGTTAAAAAAAGGTTCAAAAACTATTCCATATTCATGCCGCATTATCCGAGCTCCTGCTGAAAGCAAGACATCCTCAAACCCCAGATTCTGAACGTGAAACATGATCATCAGGAACACGCGATCTATATTCGGAAAAGAAGTGCACCGAAGAAATCTTTCGCCCTAGCCCGCAAGTTCCCCGTCAATGGACCCACATTGCTGGCAAGGCTAACAAAGCTGGCACAGATGACTCCAACTATCGCTAATGGGAATGTCCGAGGGTCGAAATATCACCTCGGTTCTGAGAAGAAACAGGAACCGGATCTTATCTCTGCTGTCCCGAGTCTCTTCAATCGCCCCGGTATACCCAAACACTTCCCTGTGGCTCTTGCATCAACAGTCTAAAGCCCACACCGATAGTAATTGAAACAAAGAATAATTCGGGGGTTCACCGAAGACAAGACCACATGTGAGAGCAGTGGGTCTCGACATCTATCTCGGGAGTCGTCCCATATATGGATGTGATTATCAGTGGTTTCATCTATTCTATTTACGGTTCAATCTATGGAGTACCACGGTACATTCTACACGGCCGGGAGGTTTGTCGTTTCAGAATGTTTTCGTTCCAAGGTTCTCGATCAACTTGGTTATAAACCCTAACTTGGAGCAAGTTTGTGAAACAGATTCCGTTTCTACATCCACAATACCATTCGCAAACCAAAGAGCCGAATGAAGAAACTCAAGTCGAGTCCTTGATCTGGCCTAGTCTACTTCGAATCCAAGTAGCGAACGGCCCGAAGAAATGTGTATCGCTATTCTCTGGTCGTTCACAAAACGCCAGAAGAGCCCGATATCGCTGAGATGCAGACGTTGAAGTGGCACAAAGAATCTTCGCTAGATCAACTGGACAGAGATAAGGCGGCTGTCTTGCGTCCTCGCTGATAGACCCGGTGCCTTGCATTGAGCATGCATAGTACACGCAATGGGCAATACCGAAGCAGTGACCTAATTCATGGCTCGCCGTCCGACAAACACGACCCAACCAGAGGGCGGACAGCAATGAAGGCGATGAATCCACCTCTGGGAGGGAGCGGTAGACTGATACTGCATCCTTCACAGGTCCGTTTACCTCCGAAGTTGAATTTTGTGATCCTCGACTATTGATTTGAGATCTTTTCTGTCTCTTGGCACTTGGTTCTGCCCAAGCACATGCAGACATGTATTGTTTACAATGCGATGCAGGCCATGCATGGAGACGCTCGACATCTAGGATAGTATCCAGTATGGGATTGTATCTTGCACTGGATACTACTGCAACGCGACTTCCTCCGTATGCACGGCCACATACAAACTCGTCATCGTCATCCTCGTATAGATCAAATTCCACAAGCATCAAGAGGGCATATGCATCCTTCGGTAAAATGCTAATCGCAGTATCGAGAAGATCGTCTAGATTGACTTGGCCCCCATATACCCCATTTGACAAGGTACGTGAGCGAATCCGCACGCACTCATCGCCGTATTTCAGACCTAGGTATTGTGGGCCTGTCTTCTTCTGGGGGTTCCTTTTGGGTTCTTCCCATGGAATAAACCGCAAGGTAGACGGCGACATCATCTTGACAGGAAGACCGTGATAAAAGGCAGTCAGATAGTCCTGGACGTCCTTCGTACTAGGCGGCTTCATCGAAAGCTCATGGTCTGGACATTTTGGTATTGCCCACTTTTGCATGAAGTCAACATTTGCGTCAATTTGAGGGGATGGAACCACATAAACAGTTTTTTGCTTTGCGGTTACGGGATTGCGGTGTTCCCCATCAACCCATTCTTGAAAGCTCTGTGGGTCTTCTGGATCTCCTGCAAGATCATCTCCAGGCAGCAACAAAGGGGCAGGGAAAGCTCTGTCGTCTTCTTCAAGGAAGAGTTTGTCTTCTCGTGGGAAGCTTCGGTTGTCTGCTTTGATCGCAGCGAGACGTTGCCGCTGGCCTTGTCTTCTGAAACCTGCTACAGCAGCATGTGGAGAAGAGGCTAGACAGACAGACGTATGATTACACTTTAAGATGGATCTTTGTGGCATGCTGGAAGTTTCCAAATGTAAAGAAAAATATATGTGGAAGAAAGGAGTTCCGGCATGCGGCTCTGTTAGGCGCACGAGCCTCTAAAAAGTTGTCATCAAGGAATTGAATCACGGGAAGTTTATGACCTCAAAAAATATCGAGTACTCTACATGATAGCTAGAAAGTGATTTCTGACAGTATCAGTTAAAAAAAAATGTCAAACTTGGTGAGCTGGTCTGATAACTGCCTTTCTACCTCTGATCTTCTAGCTTGTTTGCCCTTCCCTAAATATATTTATCCCTCATATTCTAGATATTTCTATCTTGACAAATGAACTCATTTCTTTTTGGATAGATTATCCAGCGTCCTAAAACTAGAGTATTGATTAAAACAGTAGAAGGTCTGGAACGAGATTCTAACTCAAGACAGGCCTATCAACGCTAATGCCTTAAAAACGCCCACATATACCCCGGGACAGGCATAACGCGCCAAGAGGATTCCCCTCTTCCAAATTCCATTCTCCCCCTCTCAACGTGGCTCATATATCTTCTTTAAGAAATGGAAATTGACGGTGCGAAAGCTACTGTACGAGGCAACATGGTGGGGGAGCAGGAGGTGACGGAGGAACCAGACGTTGGTCCAAAGCCTAGGCCATGGAGTCGCGAAACGTGAGTGTATGTTTCCATTTGCTTGAACAGGGAATTTAACTTTGACAGATATTTCGGTTCATTCTTGTTCAACCTAGCTGCTTTCGCCCTCCCAGCCTTGTACAGCACCCTCAGCAAGCTCTGGGTGGCTAACATCGACGCGAAGCAAGTAGTCACGACCGATATCTACACCTACATTGGAGTCATTGTGGAAGTGCTTAACGAGGGTCTGCCTCGCTCTGCATGGCTCGTCATTGGGGACAAGTCCACGCGCACTGTCAGCTCGCGATTGAATCTGGCTTACACAATGATCCTTGCACAGACTGCCCTTGGAATAATAATGACAGTAATATTCCTCGCAGCCTCCAAGACTCTGGCCTCAGGGTTCGTACCAGTGGAAGTGCGACAAACTTCCATCACCTACGTACGACTCTCATCTGTACAGGCCGTGACCTCTGCAGTAGAAGCTGCTTTGTCTGCCTCAACAAGGGCGCTGGATAACCCCGACGTGCCGTTGATCATCAGCTCTGCCAAGTTCCTCATCAACATCGTTCTCGATTTACTAGTTATTTCAAAGGTACACGTTGGTGGGTGGAAACCTACAATTGTCATGCAGGCCATAATTCGGCTTGTTTGTGATAGTGTATCGTCTTTGGCTGGGCTGATATACTTTCTCACCTTTGTCGCGAGAGGTTCTCAAAAGGATACAGATGGTCCGCATAGACTGCGCTGCAGCTTTTCCAGTTTGTTGATACTGATCAAACCTAGTCTTTACACATTTGCCGAGTCGGCTATCCGAAATGCAATCTACCTGTGGCTTGTCCATAGCATCATTCTGCTAGGAAGTGACTATGCAACTTCATGGGGAGTCTTTAACACGATCCGCTGGGGGCTTGTCATGGTTCCTGTACAGGCATTGGAGGCTTCTACCTTGGCTTTTGTGGGTCATAACTGGGGCCAATTCCGTGCTGAAAGTGACAGGGTATACCCTACGGCAACCAGACAAGGCCTTATTGGTATGCGATGCCTGAATTTGTGAGAGCTACTTACTAAATTGCCCTCGTAGAACTGATTCGGCCAGCGCTTCGATCCTGCACGATTGTATTGGTTTTTGAGACAACCATGTGCATTGCACTATCGCTACGTGGGATAGAGGCGTTTGCGTATTATCTATCCGACTCGAGGGTCGTGGCAAGTATCACTCAAATCATGTGGAAGGTAAGTGAAGAGAATGGATGATGAGCATAACCTCTATTAACATGTAATAGAATATCGACTGGACCTACATATTTTATGGTCTAAATTGCCAGATCGCAGCAATTCTTCTTGCGACATCGCCGCGATGGTACCTCTACCAATCACTTGGATCCAACTTCCTGTGGATGCTGCCTTGGGCGATTATTGTTACAGTCATATCCTTGCCAAAATCCTTAGCGTGGACGTATTATGCAATCATATTTGGCGGCGCTCTTGTTTTTGACTTTATCAACGTGAGCTTGATTGCCACCCTGTGGGCTTACAGACTCATGAGAGGGAAGGTTGGAATGGGTTCAGAAACCTAAAGTTATTAAGATAACCTACCCAACCATGCTATTCAGTGTGAGCCTGGTTGTTCTAAGTCAATACATCATTTGATTTTCGCGGTGTATAGATTAGAGCAAGAAACTAAAACGGCTACTGAATTTCAGACATCTTCTGAATTTGATATTGAAACTTGGAATATAACAAAACAAAGGGCTGTTCTCGAGTCACAGATCAAATGTCACTCAAAATTGTTTCCAGATCTTGAATGAAGCGTTGAACGTCATTCTCACTGATCAACTGGCGATTGCCCTCAAATTCAAGATCCAGCTTCCCATCCCGTGGGGTAGCATATATCTCCGGTCGGTTTCGAGGCAGAAGATCCGCATCGTAGAAGGATATCCGACTTTCTGTCCCAAGGAAAGTAAAATTACGATCATCTTCTTGCTGGAAAGAGGTCCTCCAGCCAAAGTCCTTTGTGTCATCAGGCCAGTCAGTACAGTTCCGGATAATTTCTTCCATCCCGGCGGTTTCGTATCGAGAATCCTCAATGATCTGACGCTGCAATTGCAATGCAATGCTCGAAAGAGTAGCATGGGATTCAATGTGCACGCTGATAGGGATCTCGGTCATAGATGGACCAACCACATTTTGCAGACTGCTCGGTAGCATCGACCGGCCAGTGACTAGACGACCAAAGACAACATGAGCTTGTTGGTACTGGCGGGACAATGTCATAGCACACGCGGCATGGAATAACGTCGCGGGCGACATCCCCTCAAACAACCGGCCTTCGGGCATTGGGATTGTCGCTTTCACTGTCAGCCGGTCCGTGGTAGTGTAAACACGGTTGGAGTAATCTACACCAGTCCAGTTGGGATTTTGAGCGTGTTCCAGTCGCGAGGACCAGTAGGCGAAGGCGTTTGCCTTCTCATCCTCCCTATAGGTAATATACTGGGGAAACTTCGGTTCATCAGGGAGAGTATCGCCGCAGTAGAGTGAAGAGAGACTGCGGAGGACCGTATCCCAGCTAAAACCGTCAAACTGGGCGTGCGAGATCCGGAAAATGAGTCGGTGCTGCCCAGAGTGACTCCGTATTGCCATGAATCGAATGAAGGAAGAGCCAAAGGTTCGAATCCTTTTTCGATCCAGCTCACAAATGGAATCAACGAAGGCTGTAATATCATCGTCATGATTTGCCTGGAAGTTGTCGTACGCGGGATTCAGATGTTCGAGCAAAACCTGCCAGAATCGACCGTGCGTTTGAATGAACACAGTACGAAGGATGTCGTGGTGGTCTACTAGCCTGCGGCATGACCACTCTAACCGTGAGAAGTCGACATTTGCTGGAAGGTCAAATATCCAATGTGGCAATCGGCTGGGTGGGTCTTGGAAAGCATCCAATATAGCACATGTTTGGAAGTCGGTGCAAGGAAGCACATCAAGAACAGCCCCAGCCCCAGGGTCGAGGAGAGGATCGACAAAGTGAGCGAGGAAGGGCTTTGGATCATTCGTCTCGAGCAAAGCGAAGGGTCGCGACAATGGCAGAGAGTCCTCCATTGTGGTTTGTTGAACTAAAAGGGCGAGTTGAGAGAGCCGCGGGGCGTTGAAAATATCCGCGACTGTGAGCGAGAGCTTCTCATTCCGTGCCGCTGCCACTAGTCGCATTGCTGCGATGGACTCTCCGCCAATTCTGAGGAAATTGCTGTCGGCATTGATGATGTTCGCATCCATTCCAAGAACCACCGACCATAGTGCTTGCAGTTTCTGTTCCATGACCGTGGTCGGCGCGCGATGGGTCTTCCCGTGGGACTGCAGTTTTGCCAGGTTCTCCAAAGTCTGAACAGCTCCCAACTGCCGTAAAGCCCTTCTATCTGTTTTATCTGTGGTAGTCATTGGAATCCTTTCAATGGGGATGTAGGCGCCAGGGATCATGCTAGGAAAGAAGGAAGATTAGTATCAGTCGTACTTGTCGAGGACTGGAAAAGTGGGGTTAGATCAGGGAATACATACTATTGCGGTAGACAGCTGGAAAGCCTGTCCTCCAAGCCGTCAACAAAACGCGTCAGTTTCGACAAAGTGTCTTCCTCGGACTGTTCCTCTCCAGTGGGGGAGAGGGCAACAAAGACGGCAAGAATAGGACTGCTGTTATTAGGGGTAATAATCTCTGCCGCCAGGCCATAAAATAGATCAGGGTGGCGCAGGTTTGAGCGGATATGGTATTCTACTTCAGCCAGCTCAATTCGTTGGCCTCGCAGCTTGACCATACCGTCCTTACGGCCGAGGAAATCTAGCGACCCATCTGAGTTGTATCGAAGTAGGTCACCCGTCTTGTATAGGGTGGCCTGGCGGCCTGGAAGGCTTGGTGCACCTTGGAGCAACCAGGGTGGATTCTTGATGTATGCAGTGGCCGTCTTTTCAGAGTCGTTAAAATACCCTCGACTGACCGTCGGACCCTCAATGAGAAGCTCTCCCACTGCGCCAATCGGGGCCAGACGATCGGGACAGCCTGGTTGCACGAGCCATGTCCGGGCCCCATATGAGTACCCTACATGATTGTTGCGCCCATGAGGGTAGAGAAGTGTAAAGGTGAGGGCCTGTGCACACTCAGCCGGGCCGTAGATTCCAATGATGGCCTCAGCCTGCTTCCACCGAGCTATCTCAGTGGTGGGAATGGGCTCACCCCCCATGGCCAAGGTTTTGAGTCCTGGCAGGCTTGATGGCTCCAAGGATCGCACCACCGAGGGGGTGAAGTACGAATAGTCGCAATTCATGCGATTGAAGGCCCCCGAAATGTCATTTCGACGCTCCAACTCGTCAGGAATACAGAGACAGCCTCCGCGGATTAATGTCTGAAGGGTATTGGACCATGATACATCAAAGCTATATGAGACAAAGTCAAATACGCGCGTGCCCGGTTGAATACGCAGCATATCTGCCTGATGCGTTGCAGCAGAGGCAAAATTCTGATGTGTAGTCACAACGCCTTTCGGTGTTCCTGTGGAGCCGCTGGTGAATACCACTGATATTGAAGAAGTTAGTACGGTGATTGGAGAAAGGAAAGAAAATCGAATAGAGACCCACCGTATAAAACATTGGACGGGTGAACTGCGGGCAAAGGCTGGGTGAGAATATCTTTAGCCACTAAATCCAGGTAATCTTGGTCAATAATCATGATCTCAGCATCAGATAGATGACCTGCCAATCTGGCAGTTTTGGCCGATGCGAGGACAACCCGGGGATTGACTTGTTTGACAATGGACTGCAGTCGGGATTCTGGTTGAGTTGAGTCCATTGAGAGGCACGCAGCACCTGACTTCATCACCCCAAGAGCTGCGACTGGATGCCACATGGACTTCTCAAAGCAAAGTGGAATGATGGTACCAGGACCAACACCAAAGGCTACCAAGTGTGAGGCCAACCGGTTAGAAAGTTGATCCAGCTCAAAATACGATAAATGGCCGTCCCAGGCGCATATGGCCGGCTGGTCCCCATAATTTTGAGCAGTTTTAGTAATCAAGCTGTGCACGCATTCAGCGATGGCTGGTGGAACAGACGAGTTCCAGTCCCACAGCTCTGCTAGATCAGCACCACTGAGGGTCTGAATGTGATCGACAGGCTGCCTCGTGGCCGTACATACTTGACGTAAGACGTGCTCAAATTGAGAGGCAATTCGTTCCATCTGCAATGTGTCTACCACTCTAGAATCAAAGCTAAACTCAAGCTGCAAACCATTCGTCTTCGTAAGTTGACACATGATCATGATAGCATTTGGGTTGGAGTCATCGAGATCCTGAGTTGCGGAGACAAGCTCCCTGGGATTCTCGTAGGGACCATGAGGGTGATCGACAGATTGGCCTTGACTTGCCGGCTGAACAACGAGAAGAGTATTGAATCGGCTCCCTCGATCGGTGTTTTTGTCAATGCGCCGAATTGTGAGGAGCTCAGTCTGTTCGTAGGCAATCATGTCGATGGACTGCTTCTGGATGTGAGCGAGCAGACTATCGACCGATTCTTGGAAGTCAAGTTTGACTCGAATAGGAACAGCATTTATAAGAGGAGCGATCATGCGATCCAAACCTTGGACAGGAGCTTGTCGGCCCGTAACCATGGCGCCGAAGACCACATCGTCCGAGTCCATGTACCGCGCAGTGAGAATGGCCCACGAGGCACGAATGACTGCGATAGTAAATATGTCAGCAACTCTTACGAAAAATAGTAGTGCAATGTAAGCGAACAACATGAACATACTGGTTGATGGAGTGACATCTCGCCGTGGCCACTGAAATCCCTCCAGACTGCGTCGTACCGTACTATCTGCTTTAGGTTGATGATCCCCATGGGGCAATGCTGGGAAGGGGATTGCCTCGAAATCCGCAAATTCACGACACCAAAAGTCCTTTGCCTTCTCAGCATCGACCGCCATGACATGCTTGATGAAAGCTTGGAATGATGCCACTGGGATATGGCCATCAAGGGGGCCATCATACGCCTTAGACACCTCGTCCACGAGAAGATTTAATGAGTAGCCATCATATATCGCATGATGCTGGGTTAGCAGACAATATCGCTCCTGGTTGCGTTCATCTTCCACAATTACAAGCCGAGTCAGCGGCGTGGCTAGACCCATGGGCCTGTTTTGATATTTTTGGAGATATTGCTGCAGCGATTGAGTGATGTCCCAGTGCAGCGATTCATCCACTATACCTTGTATGAGCCCCTCCGTTGGAGAGTCCACAATACGTGAGCGAAGAATGGGAGCAGAAGCCCTACTCACCATTTCCCATGCATTCATGAGACGTGACTCATCGACATCCTTCCTCAGCTTGAGCAAGAGTCGAGCGACATACGAGTTGGCGCGCTTGGCGGTCATGGAGAGGAGCGACTTTTGGACACCCGTACAAGGGAAGATGTCCTCAACTTGGCTAACTTGGATGTCGCATTGGCTCGCGAAGTCGTCCAAGATAACATGTTGTTCTGAGGGATCCTTTAGGAGAGAGAATGGGTTGATGACTTCCATCTCGTTGGCGTCTATCGCAATCAAGGCAGACATTGCTTGTGCCATCTCCGACAACCGAGGCGTGGTGAGAATACTATGAACTGACAACTTCAGCCCCCGCCTACGAGCCAAAGATGCTAGCCGCATCGCCGAAATGGAGTCACCACCCAGACGAACGAAGCTGCTTTCGGCCCCAATCTTCTCGGCGGATATATCGAGAACTTCAACCCATAAAGCTTGCAGGTGGCACTCGGAGGCTGTGGTGGGGGCCAACGTAGCCGTAGGGCCATCGCTTGGTGACAAGAGCTCCAGGGTCAAACTGGAACCCATCTCGCGCAACCGGCGTCTGTCTGTCTTGCCACTCGCTGCCATCGGCATAGATGGGGTTGCAATATAAGTTGCAGGTACCATGTAGGACGGAACCCGGCTCGGCAACTCAGCTTCAAGATGGGGCAATAAGTCGGACAACTGTGCTTGATTACAGTCGATAAAAACGGCGAGCATCGGCCGACCTGTTGCTATTGGCTCTATAACTTCTGCAACTGCTGTTGGCGCAGCACCTGACGAAGATCGATCCATTAGGCATTGCATGACATGATGCTCAACATCTGCAAGCTCGATGCGTTGACCTCGCAGCTTGACCTGTGTATCCTTTCGGCCCACGAACGCGAGATTTCCAGTGAGTGGATGATATTTGACAAGGTCACCTGTCTTATACATCCGACCCCGCCGCCCCGGCACTGTTCCATCAGGGGAGCCTTGACCTAGCCAGTATGGGTCCTCGATGAAGGCGGCCGCCGTTTTCTCTTCATTTTGGAAGTAGCCCTGTCCAACCAGAGGTCCCTCGAGGCACAGCTCACCAACCGTTCCAAGTGGTGCCAGTCGGTCTTGGTCCTTTGGGTCCACCACCCAGGTCAGAACGCCAATGCCTTTCCCGATAGAGTGCATAGCAGCAGCTGTAGGCTTGGGAACTCGATGATAGAGGGTAATAGCAGAGCATTCTGAAGGTCCATACACCTCAAATGTGTTGACATGTGGAGGCCATCGAGAGAGATCCTCTGGCAAGACCGCCTCACCGCCGAGAAAGAGATAGCGCAGGGTAGGAGTACGTTGGGGGTCTATCCATCGCGCAGTCGAGGGAGTTAAGAATATGTGCGTAGCTTCAAATCGTCGCACGCTCTCCGTCAGATCGCTTTTCCGTTCTTCCTCGCTGGGGATACATAAAGTGCCTCCGGCGTTCCATACATGAAAGAGGCACCAGTAGACTGCATCAAAAGAGTAGGAGGAGAAATCATATAAGCGTGTCGTTGAATTCATTTCAAGCGTGGCTTGCTGGTGGACGACAGCACTGGCGAATTGTTGATGATGCATGAGGCATCCTTTGGGGGTTCCGGTGCTACCACTCGTAAACACGGTGTACAGAAGATCATCTGGAGATACAACCGGGAGATCGTGACTTTCCGCGGTCCCATTGAACCTCTCGGTTTCGAGAAGGGAGGATTGCTTCCCCAAGGCCACTGGGTGAGCCACCCATCGGGAACAGCGCTGTTGCTGTGAGATTGAAGACAACATAACAGTGGGATCTACCTGCTGCAATATACCATCAAGGCGAGAATCTGGTAATGATGGATCTAGGAGAAGAGTGGCGCCGCCAGCTTTCATGACTCCAAGAACGGCGAGCATGGCGTACAGGCTTTTCTCAAAGCAAAGCGGCACAATCATATTCCTTTTGACACCCATGTCGACCAATTGGGTTGCAAGCCTGGTTGACAGTCGGTCTAACTCAGAATATGTCAAACTACCATCCCACGCAGAGATGGCCACTGTGTCAGGCTGGATTTGCACAACTTTCTTGATGAGATCATGCATGCATCGGTCTATAACGGCAGGCAATTTCGCGTTCCAGGTCCAGATGTCATTTAGATGAGACTGCGTCATCATGTTTACACCCCCCAGCGTGGTGTGGGGTAACTGCTGCTTGCACATGATTTGAACAGCCTGATCCAGGTGCGCTGCCATGGTTTGAATGGTTTCTGACTGGACAATGGTGGAGTCATAGCAAAATTCGACCTTCAACCTACCTGACTCCAGGTTGCACACTACCGATAGTGCATACGAGCTAAAGCTATGGTATCTGGTGGCTTCATCTTGTTCGGCAGACCGGAAGACAAATAAGCCAGTATCGTCCATAGCCTGCTCGGGTGGTTGGATCACGAGCAAGGTCTGGAAGCGACATGCCTCTTCTGCCGGAGTGCTGACTTGCCGGATGTTGGACAATCCTGTTTGCTCATGAGGGACCATCTCTCGCTCTTGGTCCTGAATAGATTGAAGAAATTGTGGAATAGTGGCATCCCTTTTGATCTGCACACGCACAGGAACTGTGGCAATGGTTGGACCTGGAATCCTCTCGGTGCCCTCGATGGGGGCTTTGCGCCCCATCACCACCGTGCCGAATACCACATCGGACGAGATCGCATATTGGCCGCATACGAGGCTAAATGCTCCGCGGATGATGGTAGAAGGAGTGAAACCGTCTGTTCGCCATTTAACATTGTCGATTAGAACGGTTTGAGTAGAATCGGTTCTTGGTTGATAACTAGCCGAGGGAAGTAGTGGAAACTGCGAGGCTTCACAGCCTTCAAATTGTGTCTTCCAAAAATTGGCTCCGGCTTCCTTGTTCTGATTGCAGATGTACTTGACGAAAGCCTGGAAGGGACATAGTCGAAGAGGCGTTTCCCCATGGTAAAGGCTCTTCAGCGTGCCCATTATCATTGCTGAAGTCGGCCCATCATATATCGAATGATGCATGGTCAATGCAAAGGACCAGCGCACAGGGCCTGAGACACCAGGCGGTTCATCAGTTGACTTGTATGAAAACAGCCCACACCGCATGAGACGGGTACCCAGCCCCATGGGATACTGACGATCCTGGCTCAGGTATTCCTCCACGCTCCCAGCCTTGCTCCAAGTAGCCTTCTCTCGGATTACAACTTGCACAAATCCCTGTCCAGGAAGATCGACGATTCGTGTGCGGAGGATAGGCACTATGCGCACCAGCTCTTCCCAAGCGTGTTCAAAGCGGTGGACATCTATCGAAGAGCCTAGCTCCTGCACGTTCCAGCCGGTGTAATCCCCGTGAGACTTGATTGTTAAAGCTAGCAGACCTGTCTGGAGAGAGGTACAGGGGAATATATCCTCAATGTCGGCCTCGTTGACAGTACAAGCGGATGCTGCATGGTGGAGGGCGAGGTTCTGGTCTCGGCCAGTATCCAATAGTGCAAAAGCCTCGATGCTGTCATCTGGTGCATCTTCGAGGTTCCGCAGCAGGCTGGCCATTTCTTCTAAAATTGGGAATTCCATCACCCCAGCAACAGTGAGCAACAGGCCATGTTGGCGAGCGGTACCTACCAATCGCATGGCATCAATGGAGTTGCCGACCTGTAGGAAGCTGTCGGTGGCCGATATCGTCTCTGGCTCCATTCCTAAAGTAAGGGCCCACAACCTCGCTAACGTGATTTCAGCCGTCGTGACTGGTAGTCGTCCCGTGGATCCTTGGCTGGATGGAGTGCACGATGCAGCAATTTCAAGCAGCCGCCTTCGATCTCGTTTCCCGTTTGTAGTCAAAGGGATACCCGCAAGCGCGATATACCACGATGGAACTGCATACCGAGGAAGAACCATCTGAAGCTTCTGGCTGAGTCCGGCGGTTAATTGGTCGATATCATCTTGGGTTACGATGAACCCCACGAGGATCACCCCGCCTCCACCTGGGGGTGAGATGGTATCGACGATAACCTCAGTGTGCTCGCCTGGTCCATCGAGAAATTGTTGAATTTGGGTTTCGACCTCCTTGGGTATCACAAGCTGACCAAGAACTTTGATCTGTTCATCCTTGCGGCCTAAGAAGATAAGATAGCCATCGGAGTCATATCGAGCCAAATCCCCTGTTCGATACACACGACCGTGCTTTCCTGCGTGGGCAGTCCCGAGACCTTGAGAGAGGAATGTGGGATTTTGGTAGAAGTGCTTGTCTGTGAGAGATGCATTTCCGACATAGCCACTGGCGAGTGCAGGCCCCTGTACCACGATCTCGCCGACCGCACCATATGGGACAAGTCTGTGGCGGTTTTGCGGATCTACAAGCCAGCAACGGAACAAGTCAATGCGTGCAATCACACTGCTGGACCAATTGGGCTCATCGGCCGGGTAGACGGTTACTGCAGGGAATTCAGCAGGCCCGTACCAATTGCGGACAGCACAGTGGTCTTTCCACCTTTCGACGTCGGCTTGCAACATATTCTCACCCCCCATCACAATAGTAGAAAGCCCCGGTACATCTTGTGGACGCAGCAATCGGGCGGTGGACGGGGTGATAAATGCCCAGTTCGCCCTGTATTGATTAATTGCAACCGCGATACCATCGAGGCGTTGGGCTTCTGATGGAATACAGAGACAAGCGGCATGAGTCAGCCCAATGATTGTTTCCAGGGTGGCGACATCGAAATCATACGATGAGAATTGGAACATGCGAGAAGAGGAGGCTACCGACAAACGCAGGGTCGGTTCCTCTGCGTTTGCGGCCAGAGCTCGGTGACTCCAGAGAACATGTTTCGGTTCGCCGGTGCTACCAGAGGATACCAAAACTGAGGCCGGGTTATCCATCTCAAGGACGGGTAGCGGCATGATATTTTCTTCCAATGGAGTCTCCAGAATTTGCTCCATGGTAATACAGCGAGCATATTTCGAGACCGTTGCCAAGCGCTCAGGTGAAGCTAGGGCAACCTCTACACTAAGATGCTGGAAAGTACGGCTCATTCTCTGCTCTGGCATGTCTGCTGATTGTAACAAGGTTATTGCACCGGCTTTCCAGACGGCAACCTGGGCCAATGGCATGTATCGAGACTTGACAAAGCACAACGGCACAACGGACCCTTTCTTGACGCCCAGATGCAGAATTAGCTTGCGCGCGACAACGGTAGAGAGCTGGTCCAGCTCGCTGTATGTGAACTGACCGTCCCATGCATCAATGGCAATAGCCTCGGGGTCCGTTTTGGCACATAAAGTAATCTTGTCGTGTACAAACATGGTTGGGTCCGGAGGCAGTTCTGCATTCTGGGCCCAGAAGCGCTCCAGGTCGAGCTCACTGGCTGTCTGGATGGTGTTGAGTGTAGTCCTATCGGGGGATTTTGTACATAACTGGCGGATGACTGTCTCCAGTTGGTAGACAATCCGCTTAACCTGCCGCTTGTCAATAATTCTTGGGTCAAAGCTCATTTGGATGTTAACCCCCGAGGTCGTAAGTTGAAAGATGACCATTAACCCGTAGACGTTGAATGGGTCGATTCCCATGGTGCTCAAACTGGAGGCGAAGCTGCGTGCCTTGAACAATCGGCTATCTTCATGCAGGCTGTTCCCTGTAGCTATTGGCTGGACTACCAGCAAAGTCTGGAACAACCCGGCATTACGGTCTCCGTTGGCTCGTTGAATATTCGGCAAGCCGTATTGCTCATAAGACATGATATCCAGTCCCTGTCTTTGGAGGCCTTGGAGGAATGTCTCGACCGTATTCTCCCAATCAATTGATACGGCAATCGGAACTGTTGCAATAGTTGGCGCCACACAGTTTTCCATGCCGTTTATATTTGCCTGTCGTCCACTCACTGTCACCCCAAAGATGACATCGTTGGATGCCACATACTGTGATGCGAGGACCGCCCACGCCGCACGGAGGATTGTGGATGGGGTTGCTCCCTTGGAAGGCCAATGTAGAGCAACTGGATGCTCCATAAAGTCACTAGCCTGTGGCTCATATGTTGTAGATGGCAGAGCGGGGAATGCGCGGAACTCAGCGCGAGACAGCTGGGCCCTCCAAAAGTCGTCCGATTCCTGAGTATTTATCTGGCTCAAATGGCGAATAAAATGCTCAACTGCAGTGACTGTCCTCCCAGGCTGATCGTAGTATTGTGCTTGGAGTTCTTCGAGAATCATGGGCAGTGAGCTGCCATCATATAAGCAGTGCGAGATGGTAAATATGAACGTGCGATCGATGATGGCCGCACGACACAGCTGGGTTCCTAGGCCCATCGGCTCTGTCTCATCCTCATGCAAGTACTGCTGGATGTTTTCACCAGACCTCCAGGGCGTGTCATTGAGAACGACCTGCACAAGACCTTTGCCGGGGAGATCCACAATTCGGGTTCGCATGATAGACAATTTAGCGATTGTTTTTTCCCAGGCATTTTTGAGTCGGTCTGGATTGATATCGCTTTGAAGTGGTAATACACTGCGAGATATATATTGTCCCTGTCTTCTAGCTCCAAGCGCCAGCAATCCCTCTTGAAGTGCCGTACAAGGGTAGACATCAAGCACTTGATCTTGCGAGACCGAACAGATGTGAGCAACATATGATCGGCATTGTGACTCGTCCACCCCAAGAGGTAAAAGGGAGAATGCGGGAATGTCTTGCATATCCGACTGGCTTTCACTCTGGACCATTTTCTCGACCATCTTTTCTAATTCGGAGAAATCGAACACATCTGCAACAGTGAGGGCAAAGCCCTGACTACGTGCCATTCCAACAAGGCGCATGGCGCTGATCGAGTCTCCCCCCAAGCGAAGGAAGTGGTCGGTCGCATAGATAACATCTGGCTCAACCCCCAACACATGAGCCCACATTTGCTGCAATAGTCTCTCGCTTTCCGTAGCCACCTTCCGGGCTTCCTTTCGGGTTGGTTGCATTTCTGCCAGCTGCGCCAACGTGAGGGAACCTCCAATCTCTCGCAATCGTCGCCTATCCGTCTTTCCTGTCGGACCGATAGGGAGTTCACTGAGCGGTATGTAGATCCTGGGGATCATATAAGATGGGAGGATACTAGCAAGATGGTTCTCCAGATCATTGGCCGGCCACGCACTTTGCAGATATGCTTTGGGATCTGCACGGCCAACGGCATCAGCAGGACTAACGAAGAGGGCCAAAGTATCGTTGTCACCGCAAGCCGGAGAAAATATCTCTGCGACAAGCATTGTGTCCACTATGCCAATCAAGAAGTCTTGAATGCACCGCTCTATCTCTCCCAGGTCAATCCGCTGGCCTCGGATCTTTCGCTGGGAATCCTGGAGACGCCCAAGATAGATGATATTACCATCCGAGTCGTACGTAACCAGATCCCCGGTACGATAGACTGGACCTGGTCGACCAGAGGTCTTCCAGTGGCCATCTTGCAGCCACGATGGGGAATTAAAACCCTCTTTGTTCAACACGGTGCTATTGACTCCAGCATATTGAGCCAGCATAGAGCCTTCCATGCACAACTCGGCCACAGCTCCTACTGGAGCCAGTAGGTTTGGATCTTTCGGATCGACAAGCCACGCTAACCCGGCGCGACCTTTCCCTATCATACCTGGACGCCAACTGCCGTGACTTACAAGGCACGAAGTAGCCACCGAGGCTTCCGCTGGTCCGTACCAGTTATGAACCGTTTTTTGTGTGTCTAACCATCGAATAGCAGTCTTGTACTCGAGCTTCTCGCCCGCAAATACCACTGTTTGCATAGATGGCAAATCACCCGGGGCTATGGTCTCTGACACAGATGGCGTCAGACACATCCAGTTGGCGTGGTAGCCGTTGATTGCGTCAGTCAGTCGATCTTTTCGGTCCGTCTCGGATGGGATACACAGACAAGCTCCACTAAGCAAAGCAGCGCAAGTCTCTACTGTGCTCACATCAAAATCGTAACCGGCAAACTGGAAGACTCGGCTCGTATCGTTCAATTCAAATGCCACGATTGCAGCTTGAATGTTGGTTGATAAGGCGCTGTGACTCCACGCAATGGCCTTTGGTGTTCCTGTAGACCCTGATGTAAATAGAAGAAGAGCAGGATCACTGGGCAGGTGGCAGTGTGGTGAATATTTGACAGCAATATCGGACCCTTTCCTCTCCGGAGTGAGGAGGCCAGTGATACTGAGGACTGGGACCACCTCGTGGAATGGACATAAATTAGACGACGTGGAGGTAACAACAATCTGGGGCTGCAAGTTCTCAACAATTTGCAGGGCTCGAGTTTTGGAAACAGGTACAGACATCGGCAAAACAATTGCACCAACCCTGAGAGCTGCAAGCATCATCACTGGTTGCCACGCGCTTTTTTCAAAGGCCAGAATGACGATAGACCCAGGAAGTACACCTTCATGAATAAGTCGATCAGCAAGCGTTATAGACCAAGCCTGCACCTCTTGGGCTGTTAAATGCTGGTCCCACGCGGATATCACAACTGCCTCTGGCTTCACATCACTTTGCTGACGAAAGCCATCGGTGATAGATTCAAACTTGGGCTCCGGCTGCACTGCGTTCCATGTCCAAATGTCAGCCAAGTCGTCCTTGGTGAGAGCAGTGATATCCCGCAGGCTCATCCGAGTACACTCCTCCGAGCATAGCTGTCGCAGCAAATGTTCAAATTGTATCGACATTCGCTCGACCTGTTTGGCTGAAATGGCGCCAGAGTCAAAGTTGATCTTCAGTTCAACTCCAGAGTCGTGCAGTTGGCAGATAATCATCATCGCATATGGGTTGTACATGCCCACAGTATCGGCTTCTCCATCCTTGCACACGATTTTCAAACTGCCAGGTTGATCAGTGTTGCTAATAACACTACTCGCCTTGCTGAAAAGACCGTCGACCTCGTGGTCTTGCTGAGCCGGCTGGACCACCAGGAGGAGTTGGAAAAGGTTGGCTTCCTCAATCAACCCAGCAATCTGTTGCAGCCCTAGCTGCTCGTGCTCGGTGGCCTCCACTGTCTGTGTCTGAACCTGTTCAAGCCAGCTCTCGACTGTTTGATTCCAGTCAAATCTCGCGCGGACTGGTACAGTCGCGATTGTGGGACCGGCGATTCGTTCGATCCCGGCCACGTTGGCTTGTCGCCCGCTGATGGTGGCACCATATCTGATATCGTTGGAATTTGTGTATGAGGCCAGTAACAGGGCCAAGGCACCCCTAACTACTGATGATGGTGTGGTTCCCGAGTGTCTCCACGAAATTTCAGCGATTTTGTGATTGAAGTCAAGCTTTTCCCCTGGCCGATACCCCGGAGACGGGAACATCTTCGTTTCAGAGCCCCCGTCCAGGTAGGCCTTCCAATACAGCGATGATATTTCCTTGTCCATCCCCTTTGAATATTTCACAAATGACCGGAAGGGTAGTATGGCCGAGGGGGTAATCTTCTCGTGGTATTTGGCTTCGATGGCATCCAATATCAATTTGGTGGACCAGCCATCGAATATTGAATGATGCATTTCCATGATAAGACTGGGAGTCGCTCCAGAAATCAGGCCAGCACGACACAAAGGGACCCCCAATCCCATTGGGGCGGAGTATTTGACGAAGTCGGTGAGATTCTCGTATCGATCCAGCGTGATGGGGGAGTCGACAACAACTTGAACTAGACCATTGCTAGTCAGGTCGATGACCCATGTTCGCAGGATTGATGCTTCCCGAACAGTGCTTAGCCATGCCTTTTCGAACCGATAGAGATCTGTGTGGCTAGGAAGCTCAAATATTGTCCGTGCAACGTTATTGGTCTCGCTTCGAGCTGTGATAGAAAGCATGCCCTGTTGGAGTGCGGTGCACGGATATATATCCTCAACTTGAGCCACTTCAACATTGCAGAGCTGAGCAGCCTCCTCGCGCATTATTTGAATATCTGAAGGATGGTCCATCAAAGAAAATGGCGTAATTCCTTCCGCTTCAGGAAAGAAAGAATCTTCCTTGATAATGAGGGCAAGATCACTCAGCACTGGAGTCTTAAACACATCTGCCACTGTGAGAGATAGATTGGCCTCCCGTGCTGCAGCAACCAACAGCATGGCTGCAACTGAGTCCCCACCTAAGCGGAGGAAACTATCTGTGGCGCTAATTCCAGTCGATGGTATGTTTAATACCTGCGCCCAGAGCCCACGAACCTGCTTCTCCCTGACAGTTGACGGGTCGCGGTATTCATAGACTCGCAGAATGGTCGACTGTAATTGAAGAAGCTGCTCTAAAGACAAGCTAGCTGCCAGATCTCGCAGTTGTCGCCGGTCGACTTTGCCAGTGGCAGCTACCGGTATCTCTTCAATGGGGAAATAAATGCTGGGGAGCATAAATGCTGGCAATAAACCGTCTAGATCACGGACAAGATTATTCATCGCGCTCTTCACTGCCTTGAGATCCTGGTTCTTGGTCTGCACAAATAGCGCAAGCAGTGCAGTATCGCTTCCTTGGGGTAGCACAGTATCCGCAATGATCGTCAGTCTGTCATTCAGACATGCACGCGCATGGTGCTCCACGTCACCAATTTCAACGCGTTGACCTCTAATCTTTAATTGAGAGACATCTTTCCGCCCTAAAAATAGGATGCTTCCATCCGATCGAGTCTTGACCAAGTCTCCGGTCCTGTATAGGCGGCCTTGCCGTCCTGGGACACCAGGACTCCCAGACAAAAGCCACGCTGGGTTGTCGATAAACGCTTCGCTCGTCTTTTCTTGATTGAAAAGATACCCTTGGCCAACCATGGGTCCCTCGAGGTACAGTTCTCCCGGAGAACCAGGAGGAACAAGCTGGCTGCTATCGTTGGCGCTGACGATCCAAAGGCAGAATCCCATTCCCCTCCCAATATCCGGCCGTTCTTCCTCGCAGCGGTTGAGCCGCGAGAAGGTACATTTCCAGGTACACTCGGTGGGACCGTACGTATTGAGAAGACGAACACGGCCAGCCCATTGAGTCACATTTTCTCGATACGGCATTTCTCCACTCAAAAGGACAGTTTGAAGTGTGGGTGGGACCGAACTAATTGTTCGCAGAACAGTGGGGGTGACATTGATCAGACTAGCCGCAAAGGCCGTGATAGCAGCAGATAGGTTATTCACCATATCTTGCTCGTTGGCAACGCACAGACAGCCACCTGCGCACAGCGTATGAAGAACATTGCTCCAGGCTACGTCAAACGAGTAAGGCGCAAAGTCAAAGACTCGCGACTCTTGATAGAAGCCAAGAGCTTTACCCTGGTGATGTACAGCACTTCTCACATTGCCATGGCTAATGCAAGCTCCTTTGGGCTCCCCGGTAGTTCCGCTGGTTTCGAGTACTAAGGTTAGCATTCTTATTACTCTGGGTGATTGGGACCTGGATCTCTTACGAGGTAAAAGATATATAGACTATGTCTTTGGATGATACCACAGGCAAATCCAGGGTCTGCTGTTTCATTGTGTCCGCAATCTCCAGCAGGCTATCGTCGAGCTGAAGGATGGGTGAATCGCACAATAGAGATACTCTGTTCCGAGTAGTAGCGCAACATATCATTGCTTTTGGCTGCGCATGCCTAATGATAGATCGAAGTCTCGCATCTGGATGAGTGGAATCAAGGGCAATAGCAGCGCATCCGGCTTTGATGATCCCCAACATGGCGACACATGTCCATCGTGACTTGGGGAAAAGAAGGGTGACCGGGGAGCTTGGTGGATTGCCCATTTCACAGAGATAATGAGCAACATGATCGCTCAGGGTAGATAGTTGAGCATAGGTAAAATCTCCGTCCCATGCGCAAACAGCGAGAGCATCTGGTTGTCTTTGCGCTACCTCAGTAATCAAGTCATGAACGCAGCCTGTGATAGATTCTGGGACAACGGTATTGTTAGCCCAGATCTCCTCAAGCTCTTGTGATGAGGGCGATGCAGCATCAGGTGCATCCGGCATTGGTAGCTGAGTATCCTTGTTTGTCTTTGTCGCAACCATTCTGATGGTTTACTAAGATACTTTTGGTTGCAGAACAGGAGGGCAAGGCTTTTACAGCTCTTAATCTCCGGTCTCTCGTTATCAGGCGATAGTGTAGGAATCATCCCCACCTGGGGTATCCATTCGAAAGTCGGCAATGCGTATGCAACTGGTTAGAGTACAGTCAGAAATGACTAGTTCCATGTTTCATGTGACTTGCCAATATGGACCCTGAGGACCCACTTTAGTGCAGATTGACTGTGATCCACATACCGGATCTGGTGTGTCACAATATATATCACCATATTTACTTCCATGTTTTCTTCGGACGATCTACATTGAAAAGGTATTTCCTACTTTGTTAACATCAAAAGCCTAGGGACTTCAGCAATTTCGAGCACATTCCTTACAAATATATATCTTTGATCATGTTTGGGCAACTTGACTTTTCGCGATTTCACAGCCAAAGCGCCGATGAGCGTGATCAGTTCTGTCGTGAGTTGGTTTCCGAGTTGAGTAGGTCGGGCTGGGTACGGCTAGTCAATCATGGTGTCCCTCCAGAGTCTATCGATCGGGCATTTGAAATGGTGTGAAAACATTCCCTCAATTTTTGTTTAAAGATTCCCTCACTCATCGCAGTCTCTCTAGAGTCGCAAGTTCTTCAATCTCCCATTGGACCAGAAGCTGAAATCACCTCATCCTCCCACGGCTCATCCCCATCGAGGTTTCAGTCCCGTTGGCCTGGAGAACATATCAACTGTGTCTAATTATCGTTCCTCGGCCACACAACCCTTACTTAGGGACATGAAGGTATACCTTTGACAAATTGTTGTATTTTATGTTTGTATATCTAACCAGTTCATCAGGAGTCTTATGACATTGGATCGGAACAAGATCCGTTGTACTCCAATATTTGGCCCCCATCAGGAGTTCAGGATGGCTTTCAAGGGACAATGAATTCATTTTTCGCCGTTTGTTACGAGGCTGAGTTGATCATTCTGGATGCTATCTCGATTGGTTTGGGGTTGCCCGTTCAGCTACGTAAACTCCACCAAGCACAGACCAACGAGCTGCGTCTCACCCACTACCCCCGAGTGGATCGGGGGCACTTTGCCAATGCCACCCGCATTGCGGCGCACACAGACTTTGGCACGATTACTTTATTGTTCCAAGACAATGTTGGAGGCCTGGGTAAGCAATACTACCTTCCGAATTTGGACGAGCTGACAGGGTCCAAGAAATGGAACAGCCCCCTGGTAGTGGGGTCTTCGTTCCAGCCGACAATGCTGGCCCCCACGAGTGTATTGTCAATGTAGGCGATTGTCTCCAGATGTGGACAGGCCTACACAGTGCCCGACACCGGGTGCATCTGGCAAAAAGTGAGAAGCAGGGTAATATGATCCCAGAACGCTTCTCGATTGCGTATTTCGCAAAGCCTGATCGTGCAGCCCTTCTCCGTCCACTGCTGGATTCGCTAGACAATGGCACGCCAGTGCAAAAGTTCTTGACGGCCAATGAGTTTCAGCGCATGCGCATTGAGGGTACGTACGCCTAATAGTTCAGCTGCATGCAAACGCTATTCTAGGCCTGTCAAGAATATATGGCTTTTGCAACATATTTAGTGTGATATATCGCATACTTTCAATTTGATGGATCCCGACCTCGACTATAACCCCGCACAATGTAATCCGTCGGTCCGACCAATCTAAATAAGATGTCGCGATAGGTGCGTCGTGGGATGCACTTCCATCACGGACAGTGGCGTTTTAGTTGATTTCCTGCAGGATCCTTGGCGGTCTACGTTCCGACGGTGTCCGGCTCGCATTTACTTGGCGCCAGATAGGTACAGATCACAGCACGTCCCCTCCATTATCTGCAGGGTTCCATGTGCACGTAGTGAAACTAAGGAGTTCAGGTTACGAGATCACAGAGCTGATTCTAATCCCAGCAGGCGATCCCAATAAGGGGCGCTGGTAGTTTAACCATGTGGTTTCAGACAGACCTACCTCATCCACCATCTAAAAAAATTATCTTAGCAGTTAATCCCTAGTCCCCCTTCATCTACAATATGGACTGGCCCGAAATTTGCTGCAGGATTTTGCTATTTTGCTTGGCTGGGGCCGTTAGTTTCCTATTTCGGCGAGTGTACTTCCATCCATTGTCAGTCTTCCCAGGACCGAAGTTAGTGGCTGCCTTCAGTTTCCAACATTTTTACGCCGTGTGGACAGGCCGGGAAAAAGCCTGGTATCAAAATTTACATCGCAAATATGGTCCGTAATACCGTCACATCAGATACCACTTCCTATGGTCTAATTGATAAACAGGCCCGGTCGTTCGCTGCGGTCCCAACCATCTGACTTTCAATGATTTGGATCTGATTCCTGTGGTGTATCATCGCCAGAGTGATAAGACAGACTATCCTCAAGACTTTACCTGCCCGGGCGCAGCCACCAACAAGGCCGGCTATCTTGAATATGCTGCGGCCAAACGGCAGTTTGGACAGGCAGTGAGCCACTCATTGTTATCTCTTACCGGAGCCAGTAACTGATCGATACAGTTTTCGGTATCGCGGGTGCAGTTGTTTGAGAGTCTGGTGGATGAAAATCTTATCAAGTGGGTTTCCGTTCTCAACGAGGAAACCCACACGAATCCCTCAGTAGACTGGGGTACCTGGGTCAAGTAAGTTTCCCACATCGAAACGGGAAATCTTGAACTGGGAACTGACTGGGCTCAGATATTTTTCATTTGATGTCTATGTGCCAATGAGTGTGGGGGAGAGCTTCGGGTTCTTAGACCATAAGTCCGATGTGCGCAATATGTTGCAAAGCAGTTATCGTATCTTCCGGTACTGGACGCTTAGTCGATATCGCCCTATCGCTTGGCTAGCCACCCATACTTCTTTCGGCCGCCGTTTGTTTGTGAGTGGCCGCGATGACCCAACAGGCATGGGAATGTGGACTACTGTAAGTGCCTCTTTTCTTTTTCATGACTAGCAGCTCTGAGCCTCGTCTAGGAAGTGCATGATATCACTCGAAAGCGTATTAAAAGCTCCACAACGGAGTCAAAGCCACGCTGGGAGCACTCCATGTTGGATCAATGGCTCGCAGCCAAATCTGCGGCAGGAGAAGGTATTCCCCTATCGGATATCGAGGACCAGCTAGTTTCTGATGTGTGAGTTCTGCCAACCCAAAACTTCCCTTTTGGATACGTGCTAATTCTATTTACACAGACTGGGTGGTCCCTACGCACTCGCCACCACGATTAGCCATCTGGTGACCACGATGGCCAAGCATCCCCAGGCCGTTCAGCGAGCCCACCAAGAGATTGATAACGCTTTTACCCAGCAGACTCTCTCCAACCCCTCGCCCACCTACACAGAATGCTGTGCTCTCCCTTTTATTGATGCCTGTGTCCGCGAGGCCATGCGCATTACAGCTACTGCCTCTCCTAGATGGCGCTGCTCGCCAGACAGGCCATTGCGTCTCTTAAACCAGGACGTCCCTCCGGGCACTGCAGTAGCTACAAGTCCCTTCACCATCTCCACTCATCCTGATCTGTACGGTGAGAATGCCGAAGAGTTTGTTCCCGAGCGGTGGCTTGAGGCGTCAGAGGAGCAGTTGCGAGTGTGGTATGCATATGATGCGCACTGGGGATTTGGCTATCGCAAGTGTCCCGGGCGACACATAGGGGTATTGGTCCTATATAAGACCTTGGTTACGGTAAGTGTTCTAAGGAGTTTGAGAATGTCGATGTTGTGGAGTTCCGCAGCTGAGAATATTGTTCAAAACAGATCCTACGCAATTTCGATATCAAAGAGGGGATTTCAGGATCGTCATCCCTGCTGATGCTGCCACGAAAACCTTGATCCAACAAACCCAGAAGATGTTAAGGCAGGGGTATACAACACAGAAATCATAAAGGATTAGGATATTTAGGCTCTATCCATATCGAAAATGCCATACGAATTTCATGTTTTACCGCGTCTCTTTTTTTAGCAGTACTTCAACGCTAACTCAGATGGGTAAATGAGGTTCACACACTTAATACAACTTTTCTTACCCCGTAAGTTTGTTGGCATTTAGGTTACGACATATCTATACATCTTCAGCGGTGATCTCTCTGCATTAATCTTCAAAAGCTTTCTTACCAGTAGTAGGATAGCATAGTACTGGAAGAAGGCAAGCAAATCTAATTCTAGATGTCTTGACACATATCACTCAAGGGCCGTAGGCTTCATTTATTTGGTATAAGTGAGTTGAACGAGACAGTGTTTTGTATGGACTTGAAATGAAATTTCGGCAATATTGTCCTAAAGACAGGATCCACGAAATTTGACTGAAGCAAACCGTCTAGCTCCACTTGCGCCCAACAGCGGCGACTATATGTAGTGAGATATGCACGAAAGTGGATTGTCTTGCCTCAGCTGAATACCCGAAAAAATGTCCGTATCTAAACCCACGCCTCTTTCTAGGCCGTACTTTGGTTTAGTATATAATTTTAGAGTAATTGAGTATTGGACAAAAACCCAGCTTCGATTCCCTGTTCTTTGGATAGATAGTAGAAACCAACTCGTTTCCATATACTGCAAGGTTGATACGGGTTTATTATAGACCTTCGTCAATGAATTAATTAATAAAAATCCCAAATTTTAGGCCATTCAAAAAGGAACCAGTCCCGAACTTCCCCAAGGCATGCATATGCGCTGTTATATGTCTGAATCCTCTCATTTAGTTTCATGCACGTTCCCGCCAGTTACAACCATGCACATCTGGGCATGAAGGCTGTCTACCCGTGTTCAGCCAGCCCAAGAGATGCGGTACTATGCACTCGGTACTCCGTACAGAGTACGCGTACAATTCACTCAATTGACATGGGTTGTTTTGAGACTTGATGATCTCAATGCAGATTCTGGATTTTCCCCCTCTGTGTCTACCCCTCCAAGTTTGCAGGTGCATCCCCATTGATCACATCATCAACATTGGTCGCCTAAGTCTTAGTGGCAGTGCGAAGTAGTGGATAAACTGCATTCGGTATGGGTTACTTGTAATTGAGGGGAATGGAACGCGCCCCCGAAGCTACAGGTCTTTCGTTGACATACTGCATACTACGTACAGTGAACAGCATTTTCATACACCTTTGCCAACTTTACTTTGCAGCTCACTTGCTCTGGTCCGAGTTCCTCTTTGGGCCTCATCATGCAGCTCCATCTTCCGTACCGTGATTCGTTCTCGAGGCCATCTATACGGGTTTCTCTATGCCAGGATCCTCTGAAACACCCGAGTGTCCATTCTTTTGAATGCCCCCGTTGGCCAGGCTGTTCTATATGCGGTCCTGGTAATCCTGGGGTGACTCGGACTGAGAAAATTGTCCCTTCCGTTCTAACGAGCCACCGAGAGGAAGGAAGCTCAGACCCCCCCTTAAACGAAAACACTAAAGTATGCATCATCGGGGCCGGAATTGCAGGTCTGTATCTCGCGCTGATCTTGCAAGATCTCGAGATCCCAAATCTTTCCTGGGATATCCTCGAGGCCAATCGGGATCGCATTGGCGGCCGCATCTATACCCATCGCTTCTCTGAGGCTCACAATGACTACTATGACGTGGGCGCAATGCGGTTTCCGGATATCCCCATCATGTCTCGGGTGTTTGATCTCTTTCGCCGAATGCAAGTGCCATTGAAGGAATTCCATATGCGGGAGATAAACACGAAGACGAAGGGCTATGATATCTCCAAGACCGAAGATAGCCCATCTGCCAAAATTCTCAGTCAATCCTTCGGTCCATACAAAAAGGCCATGCAAAAGGACTTTGTGCAGGGGTTCCAGATCCTAATGGAGGCCGATGCAATGAGCACCCGCGAATACCTCCGAGGGAGTCAAAAGTTAGATTTTACGACAATCCAGTCTGCCGAGAACGACACGACTGGCACAGGCATGTTTGATCAAGCCTTTTCAGAGAGTGTCATGGACTCCTTCGATCTCGATCAACCTATGCCAGGGCTCCAGGGCAGTGGGGCAAGCATGGAATGGTATTCTGTGGATGGCGGCTCTTCAGTGGTGATTGAGCGAATGCGCCAACAAATCAACAGAAACAGCACCATCGAGCTCGGGAAACAAGTTCGTCGCATCGCCATCAATCGTAGCGCCGATCTATCGGTCTCATGTGCGGGCGAGGAAAAGGCTCGCGATGGGTATGCGACGGTTTTCAGCACTACTCCATTGGCATGCCTGCAGCGCATCGATACTGGATCACTCCACCTTAATCCTATTCAAAAAGAAGCCATCCGGTGTTTGCGGTACGAAGACTCTACTAAGGTGGGTATCAAGTTTGCATATCCGTGGTGGATCGTAGACTGCGGGCTTCGAGGGGGCGGTAGTGCCTCGTCGACCCTCCCCTCACGGACCTGCGTCTACCCGTCGCATATCGCCGAGGAGGACTGGAACCAGCCAGCCGTACTGTTGGCCTCTTATACCTGGGGACAAGATGCCACTCGCATGGGGGCTCTGATAAATCCGTCCTCTGCTGATGGGGGTGAGGATGAGGGGGATGATCTGCTAGATCTTGTCCTCCGTGATCTTGCTCAACAACATCAGCAGCATGGAATCACGTATGAGAAGTTGCAAACTTTGTACCGGGATCACCATGCCTTCTGCTGGGGCAACTCGCGCTTTTCGTCGGGGGCCTTTGCGCTGTTTGCCCCGGGACAATTCACCAATCTCTATCCTTCCTTGTCTCTCCCAGCAGCCGATGGCAAATTCCATATTGTAGGGGAGGCCGCTAGTGTCCATCACGGGTGGGTGGTTGGCTCGCTGAACAGTGCATATGTGGCGATCTATCGATTCTTGCTTCGATATGAACAAAAGCGGGCCATCCGGAAGCTGAAGAAGAACTGGGGAAGCGTGCACGAGTTGGATCTCGCGGGCGTTGCTCGTCTTGATGAGTGGTTATGATAGTTTTGTCCATTTCATTGGTGATGCAAGACGGAATTTGCTTTCAACTCGGACGAGCGACACCATGAGGCGGGGTTGTCAATTTTTGTCATGGCCCGGAGCCACTAAGGTGAGTAAATAGTATACTTACGTATGTACGACGATCCGCATAGATTCGAGATATCGGTTTCTGAGAGTCATTGGCCAAAGCCAAAGTGTTTCCGTTTCCTGGTTACACTTGAATAGTTTGTCGCATCTAGAGTTGGAGATGTAAATAATCCGTCTGTACCATTATTGGGGTCGCCTAGGTGGACTACACTTTCTCTCTTTCCCTTTCTCAAAGAAGCGTAAGTCAGATGTTTCTCTTCCCCTCTGCCTTTCCGATAATGACAGTCAGGAACGGCGCCTCCAGACCCCCAGTTTCCATCAATCGATGTCATTGTTGCCAGAGCGGATGCTTCTGTCTCAAACCTCAACTTCAAATATAACTGCAATGCCAACTCCACTACCCACGATAAGGCCTATGAGTGACTTCAGGCCAATATATTTCGCAAAGCTGAAAGGAATCACTCGCAGATCATCATTCGTGGATTGAATCATCGGAGTAAAGTACCATGTCGAGGTGACCCCAAGCCATAGAATGACCCATACCAGCCCAGCAGCTCGCTTCCACGGTGGCACGATGCCTGATGGTTGTTTCACCTGATCTTGCCAGTTATCTGGTATTTGTACCCGCTTCCAAATATTTTGTACACCATCTTCGAGCATTATCCCGAGGACGAAGGTTAAATAGAATGGCATCGAGCCGGACTTTTCCATAGGAACGCTTTGCAGTATATCGACGATGACGTGGAATATTGCAGAAATAAGGAAGACAATGAAAAGATTTGTGTATCGCTCCAGTATTGAAGATCGAGTGAGATTCAAAACATCTCGTGCGACGAAGTTACCGATAGAAGTGAAGGGTTGACGCATGAATTGATGCCAGAATTTCCTGTAAATTGCGTCAGCATAATTATGCATCCTAGTAAAGTAGACATTCTTTACCCCCAGAAGTTGCGCAATGTAAATGCATCGGCCATACTCCCAAAGGCTGGTGGCCAGTCTGCAGGATAATCGAGACCGATCCCGACGAAGAATATTGACAGCACTCGATACGCAAGATCAGTGATTAGACGATTTACCACAAACCAGATAGACAGATGCGTAGCTATTCGCTCTGCCCATTGTGCCTTTGGCACAATCCATTCGATTTCCAACGATGCGGGCTCCTGTAGAGCACGCTCCCTAGCCTTGTGAAGCGACACCGTTTGCACGACGTCTAGCACCAAGCACTGCCATATGATGATTGCTAGCTGTCGCAGCAAAAATCGAGCCCGTGTTGGGACCTGCATACCCCTCCGCAGGTAATACTTTGGATGGGAGGGTACATTCTTCACCTGCCGGTCTGTATTGACAGCGCGAGTTTGAGCAAGTAAGCGAAAGCCTGCGACCAAGCTAGATCCAAAGTCTTGAATGCTCTTTGCACGGCACGAGATGTCCGAGTTGGCCAAAGGATTGAGCAACAACAGATTTGTTGCCTGCAAAGTCGCAATGACAAGTTGTGTTATGGCCTGGCACCATGTGGGACTGCCAGAAGAGCCAAATGGGCGGATGAAGCGGCTGGCGATCCATATCATGACTGGAATGCACAGATAGCGTAGGGGAGAGCTTTTTTGCGTGGTGATGATGATGAAAGCAGGGACGACATTCTGAATCAGGTAGAAGCAAAAGAATTCTAATATGTTTGCACCTGTCGAGTGATACAGCCCGTACATCATGGGGTCCACCCCAAGTGTTGTGTGAGAGGTGAGAGGTGAGAGTGCAAAAAGGGTCCGCGGCTTACTACAACATACGATTCGAGACCCACAAATTTATCGACCAGTTGGTTGACCAGTTCGCTGACCAGTTCGCTGACTTATCAACCAGTTGGTTGAAAACATGAAACATTATTGGTATCACACATTTTTCATTCGGACCGCTGCTCAAACGCTGTCCCCAGAGTCATTAAAAGTTCATGAGCTCGGTAACCTCAAGGTTGCACATGCTTAGGAGCTTAGATCTACCGATCTTTCAACCTTGGAGGAATAGTATGTGTAAATGTCTAGAAGAGAAAATAATTCCCTTAACTATTCTGAAGGCATCACCATTGAATGCCAGGCTTCGTGTCCTAACGTTCAAAGTCGGAATTAGTTGGTCGAGCGAGATGGTCAATGCCCTTCGCCCTCCATATATCAGAGTAAGCATAAGATTTTACTTACTTTACACCCCGTTATGGCGTTATACATCGGGAAGCAAGGGACACGTATATGCGGTTCTAAGCTCAAGCCAATAGGAGAATCTTGGGAGTTCAGCCGCAGTGTTCATCACCCTTTTCGAGCGGTAAGTATTGGGTATAAGTCACCAATAGCAGTGAAATGAAATAGAAACTATTGGGAGAGGTGTCAGATTGCTTTTTTTATATCCCTTTTGTTTTCTTCCATCTTTGCTTCCTACTCAACCATTTCGATGTTATCCACCGTTCTCTTTGCTTTGTTTCTGAGAGCTCTCCTCTATGTCGCCAAAATATTGTTGACCAGCCAGAGGCCTGGCCCCCTGCCACCGGGCCCAAAGCCGATGCCAGTGCTTGGCAACATATATGATCTACCGCCCTCAGGGACACAAGACTGGATGCATTGGTTTCAACACAAAGAGGCTTACGGTTTGCTTTCATGGTTCTTGCTTTCCAAAACACACACGCTGACGCAATGGTTTTCTAGGGCCAGTCAGCTCTATCACGGTGATGGGGCAAACCATCGTTATATTGAATGATGCAAAGTCGGCCGTGGAACTACTAGTGAAGCGCTCCTCAATATACTCCTCGAGGCCAAGTCAAGTCTTTGTGTCCGAATTGTCAGTGCACCTGCTTGTTTGGATCTAGACATAGAGCTGACGCACTGATAACCAACATGTAGGGTTGGATGGGGAAACTTTTTGGGAATGCTAAAATATTCTCCTCGATTACGCTCCTATCGCAAGGTAATGCAACCGTGTATTGGTTCTGAGTCGGCTGTGGCCCAGTACAATCCTCTACAAGAGATAGAAACCCACCGCTTTCTTTTTCGCGTACTCAAAGATCCTACGAAGCTCGTAGAGCACATTCAAACGTGAGTACACAGCCCAGTTGTCTCTTTCAATGTTCAAGACTTTGTATCTTACTTTTTCGCAGACAGGCTGGTGCAATCATTCTGAAAATAGCATACGGGTATACTATCGAGTCGCATAAGCGGGATCCGTTGGTGGAGATTTCAAACCTGGCCCTTCATCATTTTTCCAAAGCTGGTACACCAGGTGCCTGGCTGGTTGATATGATTCCAGCTCGTAGGTCTCTATCTTCGCCTTGCGCTAGTTGATGAAGTGGTATTAACGGAAGCCAGTAAAACACGTCCCCTCCTGGCTTCCCGGAGCAGGTTTCAAGCGCACTGCTCAGGCATGGAGGGATAATCTTACAACTGTCGCCGAAAAGCCCTATGCATTCGTCAATCGGCAAATGGACGAAGATCGGCATCAGCCGTCTTATCTCTCTAACTTATTCAAAACAACAGGACGCCCACCACGCGGTTCGGAAGATGAGTTTGTTGCAAAATGGACAGCTGCATCACTTTATACAGGTGGTGCCGATACTGTGAGGTGCTTGACCCTTCGTTTCTGGTCTTCGACTAACTTTCTCTAGACTGTGTGTGCTGTGGAAGACTTCTTCCTTGCAATGACACTGTATCCCGAGGTCCAACGCAAAGCACAAGATGAGATTGATCGGGTCTTGGGGCCTTTCCAACTGCCAACAACCGGCGATCGCTCTCGTTTGCCATATATCAATGCTCTGTTGAAGGAAGTTTTGCGATGGCATCCGGTGGCACCCATGGGTATTCCCCACGCGTCAAGTGAAGATGATACTTGGGGAGGGTATTTTATACCAAAAGGCTCATTTGTTTTGCCTAATATCTGGTAAGTCTGGGTCGCAACTAATCCCATGATCATCAGATATATGACGGTTTACTGACACCTACCAAAGGGCTATGACACATGATCCTACTGTTTATCATGATCCCATGGTATTCAGGCCAGAGCGCTTTTTGGGGATTGATGGACGTGAGCCCGAGTTCGATCCTCATGATCTTGTCTTTGGATTTGGGCGCCGCATCTGTCCCGCGCGTATTTTGGCAGATAAGACATTGTATTTGAATGCAGCGCAATCGCTTGCAGTCTTCAATATCAGGAAAGCCGTAGAAGATGGGAAGGAAGTTGAGGCCCAACCAACATTCCAGCCTGGGGTCAGCAGCCATCCAGTACCATGGAAGTTTCACATCGAACCTCGCAGCGCAGCTCATGAATCCCTCATTCGTTCCGTGGAGCAGAAACATCCATGGGAGGCGAGCAATGCGCCTGACCTAGTGGGTATATAATCATCATTTTATTTGAAATTTGCATAACTCTCTTGCTGCCTGGCTGCTTAATATATGGCGTTTCTCTTCTCGACTTTCTCGACTCCTCTGAATGAACTTGATTTGAGGATTTTCTTCGCTATAAAGTATTCTTGCAACCACAAACCATGTTTATAGCTTGTGTTCTCGCTGAGCATTGAAATTCGTAGCTGTGACCAGATGATCAATGGCCTTTGTATTCACCAATCCCGGATGTGCCTGTGAAACATTATTGATTCCAACAAGTTTCATAGCTGTTTCCAGTTCGCTTTGTAAAACTAAGGAACGAGTTAGAAGATGCAGATAGCACAATCATCGGGAAAGTCTTGGACATACTGTTAGTCAAATGGACCACGCCCTCTTCGCCGTAGTTGAGCGCATATAGAAACGGACGCCCAATAAGTACACCTTTGGCCCCTAGACAAAGAGCCTTGAGAATATCGGTTCCACGGGCTATTCCCCCGTCGAGATATACTTCAGTCTGTTGGAAAATGGCCGGATCGTGATAATGCAGCTCCAGCAGGGTCAAAAGTGCCGGCGGCGAGCTGTCCAGGTTTCTACCTCCGTGGTTGCTAAAGGAGCATCCTGTTAGAATGTGAACTCACAAGAATTAAACGTAGACTCACCTTAGTATAATCCCTTGAACTCCCAACTGAGCGGCAATTTGGGCATCCTCGACACATTGAATCCCCTTCAGCATCACCTTGCCTTTCCAGACTTTCTTCAGCCATGGTAAATCGCCCCAGCTCAGCGAGCTATCAATAAAACCTCCGGTTGTCCTGGTAAGTCCACTTCCCGACTTATCATTTCTGGCTATTGTCCCAGTCATGGGCATTGAGATGACTTGCTCGGTGCGCACACGCTCATCTGCCTCCCGCTTTCCGGGGACGGGTGCATCTATTGTCACCATAATCGCGCGAATACCCGCGGCCCAAACCCTTTTAAGAAGTAATTCGGTCACCGACCGATCTTTGTGAACGTATAACTGAAAGAAGAAATTTGCCTTTGGGGCTGCCGAAACAATATCTTCCAATGGGTACGATGCAGTGGTCGCGATCTGTCGTCGAGTTGTTAGTTGTATGTTTGTAGTATATGCGAGCAACATACGCAGTGGATTATATTTCTGGCTGCGGCAGCCCTCGCAATTCCTTTTTCTCCTGTCTCATGAGCAAGCTTAGCCATAGCAGCAGGTGCGATCATGATAGGTGAAGAAGTTCCGATCCCTTGAAATTGGCATCGGGTATCCACGTTTGTTACATCTCGCATCAATCGAGGTCGGAACCATATCCTACTGTAGAATGACTGATTCGCTTGTTTTGAGATGAGGTCATTAGCCGCAGATGAATAGAATGCCCATGCCTTCTTTGAGAGGGTCTCTTGTGCGACTCTCTCAAAATCATGACTGCTGAGTATGCTAGACAGAGGAGGCTTAGAGAACTCCAAAGCTTTTGGTGTATGTTTCAATGACAAGTCACTGGAACGCTGTCGCCATGCATCGTCGATACTATTAAGATCAAGATTTCCCATGTGTTTAGATGAGGGCAGAGTGCTTTCAATCAGGCCATCACTGTGCACTTGGTGGAACGAATGTGTTGCCTCATGACCCGCGCATCGTAGGATGACTATGTTGAGTTAGTTATCTTCGGTGAGCTTCAGTCCTGTTCAAAATTGCATACCGCTGGCACCGCCTGGGTGAACGCTTGCAAAGTGCGTGAAATCCCACACTTTATTTCCAACCACTATCCAGCAATCATCTGCCTCGCAGTGTTTGGTCACCTCTTTCACGGAAATTAAATGTTCTGCTACCATTTTGGTGGGTGTCAAGAAGCTCAAGATCAAGTGTGTTTCAACGGGGATTCATTAAGAACATGCAACTGCCGAGATTATGAGTTAAAAGTTAATAATCACCATCAAAGTGCGTCTTGACTCGGAAAATGGTGGTTCCCTTTCCCACTAGGAATGTTGGAGAGGTTACTATGTTGTATATGCATTTTATGAGTGAACTTGTCTCATAAGGGGATGTAGCCCCTGCATAGACCTTTTCCGGAACCCTCCCACTAGCTTTGCATTTATTTTGAAGATCCAGCATCACTCATATTCTCAATAGAGACCGACTAATAACACTTTCCTTCCATGTTAAACAGACCACGCCTAGAAGTTATCACTTAAACTATAACCTCTATAGCACAGAAATAGTGAGACATTTCACTGCGCCAAGTCTTGGGAGGCAAATACAAAACAAAGCAAAATGGCCAGAGCGTCAGCAAAACCTGTCCAATGAGATGAACCTCGGCATCCAGGGCATAGTGGACCAAGATGTGATTGGTAAACTACAATGTTAGCTCGGCTTTATTTATCAAAAAAAACATTTCAGAATGTTAGAAATCTCAACATTCAATGATGCGAAAAGGTAGAGGTCTGTCGGAATATGAATGTTTAGATCTTCGTCAGAACCCTGAAGATCAGCCGCTTCTCGGGTTCCACTCGGAACCCGACCCTCATGGACTGGCCATCATAATTTGCACCACCTCGGTATTGTTTATTGCCAGTGCAGTCAATGGCCTAGTCACCCTCAATATCACACGATTTTCATCCGAATTCGATTTAGACCCCGGGGTTGAATTATGGTGAGAGATATCTCCTCTGGATACACAACCAAAGCTGACAAACTCGACAGGCCAATGTCGATGTACTATCTTGCTCAAGGCTGCACATTCCTGCTGGCAGGATCTTTAGCAGACATCCTAGGGAGCAGGAGAGCATTTTTGTCCGGATGCTTTCTGCAGACTATTTGCCATCTGACTAGCGGATTGGCCCAGACTGGCGCGCAGCTTATTACTGTCAGATTTCTGTCTGGTGTGGCTTACCCAATGTGTTTCATTTCTGCAATGATCATTCACAGTGAGAATCTTTCGATTGAAAAATTACGCAATTTGGCATTTTCCTGTACGAGTGCAAGTCAATATATTGGCTCTGGGATAGGCATTGTCCTGAGTGGAGTACTGGAGACTACTGGTTGGCGATGGGGCTTCCACTGTGCCACAACTTTGAGCCTATTTGGGTTTCTCCTATCAATTTGGACGATTCCCCAACACGCCGATGAACCAAAATATATCCCATGGACAGAGCTGGTTGAAGATATCGATTGGTCTGGAACTCTGCTGGCTAGCTCATTGATGGCGCTCCTGTTCTCTGCCTTGGCGTACGCATCCCCATCTCACGGTCTATATTTTTGAAATGCTGATCAAATAATAACTACGGAGTAGTGTCATCACAAACAATGTGGCTGACATTGGGAAATCGTGTCTCTTCGTTCCTCTTGCGCTTGGTTGGATCCTCCTTATTGCTTTCCTGTTTTGGCAAGATTGCTGGGAAAGAGACAGCATACAGCGCATTCAGAATTCTCTTTGGGCAAATCGCCATTTCCTCTCCATCGTTCTGGTTATTTTCTTCGTCTACGCATCTTCTCACTCTACTTCGCAACTTATGATCTTCGTATTCCAACGAGCACAGGGCCTTTCGGTTCAACAATCATCTTGGCAATACTTGGCAGTCCCAATCACCGGCGCACTAAGCAGTCTGTTCACTGGATGTTTCTTATCTCGTGTTGAAGCCACCCAGATTCTCGTCATTGCAATAGTGCTCTCTAGTCTCTCTCCACTCTTCATGGCTACTTTAAGCCCAGCTTGGCCTTACTGGAAATGTGCAATGCCCGCCGTTTTCTTGAATTCGGTGGCATCAAATTCGATTATCCCAATTGCCACAATGATGGTCGCTGGGTATTCCCCTTTGGAGACACAGGGATTTGCAATGAGGGTGATATGCACTGTGGCAATGATTGGAGCCTCGGTGGGCGTGACACTGACTGCACTTATTTCAAACGATGTCAGCACACAGCTACTTCATACCCCCGACCGGAGTACTTATTTGCTCGAATCTCCAGAGATATGGATGAGTGGCTATCGGGCTGCATTCTGGTTCTTGTTCTCGCTGAACTTGGTCGGCTTGGCCGTCACTTTTGGCTGCTTGCGAAAACTTGGATACTTGGGTCGTAAATTAGATATCGGCTGTTAAAAAGAAATTCATTTCTTCTTACTTATCCGAGTTCCATGTTCTCATTACTATGGGAATAAGTACTCTCATTTATCACAGGACGTCTAATTGTACACAAGCTGGGAATTGGATCCAGACCTTTGAATGAGAGATCGACAACGAATAGGACAATTGGCTACTACCTTCCCTATTGAATTATAATATAAAAGAACCAAAGCCATTAATACCCCCTGTTTTTCCGCTTCAATCGTCCTTGAGTAACCATACCTCGGCTAGTATTCACAGAATACGACAGCGCAATTTTATAAGAGAGGGATATATGTTCATACACTTACAAGTAAACTGGTGACCAGGAACAACCCATCCGATATTTGGGTTCATGGAAAACTTGAGCGAAAAACGAACACCATGTCACCTCCAAAACAGAATATTCTCTTCCTCACAAGCCCAGAGCATGGACAGTCCAACGTCGCACTTGCAGTGACCGAAGAGTTTCTGCGCCGTGGCGAGTTCGAAGTCCACATCGCCTCCTTCAAAGACCTATTGCCTCGTGTGCAAGAAATAAATGATCAAGCGGGTTACGACCAAGTTATTCACTTTCATCCAATTGCAGGCCCGGGCATGTCCGAGATCGTGACCCGTACAACACCAGATATAACTCATCTGCCAGGGCTTGCCGGAACGCGTGATGCATGTAACATAATCAACATATCCGTGCTAGGATGGAAGCCTGACGAGTATATACGATCATATCGAAGCTCTCTCGAGATTTTGAAAGATGTCCGTCCAGTCGTCGTGGTTGCAGATCCATTATTGCATTTAGGACTGGATGCCGCTCGCAGTATTGACACACGAATTGTGATACTTTGGCCTGTGCCTTTGAAAGATGTGGTGGTAACTGTGCAACCGAAAGCTGGCATATTTTGGAAATACCCCCTGTGAGTAACTGATATCTCTTGGGTGGAGTTCAAGGATCTCGCTGACTTTAATGTTCAGCACCGGGTCAGGATATCCATACCCCCTACCATGGAGCCTGATTCTTGCCAACATATACATGGTATTTTGCTTCGGTTATATTGTTCGGTTGGGCAAGCCCATGCGCGATCTTTTGAACATTCGAAAGAAAGCAGGAATCCGGACTGAATTCCCCCACGTGGCGCCTTATTGCGAAGACCACCTACACCTCTCGCCATCATTTCGAGAGATGGACTATCCGTTATACGTCCCGGAGAATGTCATCAGCTGCGGTCCGATCCTCCGGTCATCTTTATCACTTATAGAAAGCGACCCTGCATTGAATTCGTGGTTGAAGGAGCCAACAATTCTGATATGTCTTGGGTCACATGTCCAAGCTCCAGATAATGATGCAATGCAGATGACGATGGCGATCCAGGCCGTTTTGAGTGAGTTTCCTAATATGCAGGTCTTGTGGAAGCTCAAATATGACTGGGAAAGCTCCCCGACGGTCAAGAATGTTCTCGGACCTCTTGTCAATTCTGATAAAGTGAGAGTTGTCCCATGGATCAAGCCGGAGATCATATCTGTTTTGGAAGACGGTGATATAGTCGTATATGTCCATCATGGAGGAGCGAACTCATTTTTCGAGGCGTGCAAGTAAGCTTTCCTTGGGGCCACAAATTAATGAAAAGAAAAGTGCTAATGCCTGTTCCCAGGGCTGGTGTTCCCCAGGTCATTCTCCCCCAGTGGTTCGACACATACGATTGTCCGTCCCGAGTAGAGTGGCTAGGAATCGGCTTACACGGAAGCCGCAATGTGGCACCGAAAATCAACGGATCAGTGCTGTCTTCAGCCCTGCTGCAAATACTAAAGGATAAAGGGATTCAGGCCCGGGCCAGAGCCATTGGAGATTTGTGCAAGAGGACCGAAGGACGCGTAGTTGCTCATGATCAGATCGTACAATATGCCAAGAAATAGTTGTGAGTGTGGATGCAGTAAATTCATTGAGTCATGGGCTTCCACGGTTCTCGTTCTCGAGGGCTGGGAGCGTGCGGGCGTGTATTTTGGAGAATGACATAAGTGAAGTCCAAGTCAACAACAATTTAATAAGGTACTTGGACCAAACCATTCAACTGGAATTCGTGTACTCAATCATATAAATCATGAAAGAGGGAAGGGAAAAAACAGCAACCGCGATCCTCAACGCCCGTGCCCATATCCAAAAAGAAAGGTTCCAGTGACTGTGATTAGACAGTCGACAGCTCTCTCAGAATTCGCCGGACATCTTGCCGAGATTGACGCAGCTCCTCATCAACAGTTCCGTTGGCATGTCTCGCCTTCACCTCATAGTGTAGCTCAACCAGCTCCTTCGCACGACGAAGATCGACCTTATCGTCTGCTGGGGTCTTATCTGCCAACGCGCTTCCAGACTCGGTTGAATCCGAGCGTGTGTTATTCTTGTGCACATTGACCAGTGCCAGGGCCTCGTTGTGACCCTGTGCCATGCTGTCAGCATTGTCATATTGTCTGGTGGGGTACTATCTCTTATCCACGCGGTTTGGACGCGTTCATCGTAGTGGGGCAACCTTCTGAAGGAATGATACTTACGCAGACGCGGAGGGAATTGATGTCCGAGAGAATTTCTGCGACTTGCATGTTGATGGGTCTGATGTTTGAGTCGAGAGAGACATTTAATGTCTAAGTCAGAGCCAAACGTTGCAATGTCTTGGCATACGGGAACCTGGCATTTCCAGACTTATTCACAGTCCCGTTTTCACTCTTGACTCTGATGACTCTGATGGAGATATTGGTATGGAGCCTCCAAGGCTCCTTGGATTTGTTTAGATTATTCATTAATTTGTTTATCGTCTCCTGGATGTATTCTCGAGAGATTGCAGGACACCCCTGGTTCAGACAGTTTTTCTTTGAATCCCCAAATGATCGTGTCACCATATATACTTCTAGTCTCTATAAGTCAAAATATACAACACTCAAAAGACATATCTAAGTCTCCTTGAACTCATACCGCCCCTCCCGGTCCTGCACCTCAACCTCAATCCGTCCCTCCTCGATCTCCTTTCCATCAACCTCAATCGACGCCCTCATAAAATCACCCGCTTTGACTTGTCCAACACCCTTGGGCGTACCGGTAAGAACAATATCACCCTTCTCCAGCGTCATCACGCGCGATATCTGCGCCAGCTGCTGCGGAATGCGGTGCAACATCAGGCTGGTCGAGTCAGCCTGGCGCTCGTTCTTGCCAACGCTGAGGCGTAGGAATACGTCGTGCGGGTTAGGGATGCGCGACTTGGCAATCTCCTGCGAGATAGGGCAGAAGGTGTCGAAGCCCTTAGCGATGGACCAGGGAAGGCCCTTCTTCTTTGCCTCGTCCTGCACGTTGCGGGCTGTCATATCAATCGCGAGCACGTAGCCTGTTTATCACAATGGGGTATTTTGTTAGCGACTTGCTGCTTCGAGCCCCTGTCCTTAGTCCACCGCTGTGGTGTGCAATGCGGTATGCCCATTCGGATCCAGATTGCATGCTGTACTCACTCTGAATCGCGTCCAATGCAGCCTTCTCATCATTGGGGTCGAGATCGCGCACGGTCTTGCCGATCACCAGACCCAATTCAACCTCATAGTGCAGGCTGACGCCCTTAGGGCGGAGGACGGGACCCGAGCCGGGGGAGAGGATGGATGATGCGGGCTTGAGGAAAAAGAATGGTTGCTTGGGTGCTGTGTTGTTGAGCTCGGTAATGTGATCGCTATATCAATTTATGCTGTTAGCAATTGTGGCCGAGGGAGAGACCTAGGCGGCTAGGCCGTCGGAACTCCCGAGGGAAACGGGGAGACAGGGAGACTCACGCATAGTTACGACCGATGCACATAATCTTGCGACAGTTGGCGCGAATAGAAGCCATTTTGAGCAGAATTGAAGCTATTGAGAAAGAAGAATTATTAAGGAAAGAAGTTGGGGAGCGTTAATCGGAGGTTCGGGTGTTCTTCCGAAAGATGCGGAGAACTCCATTTCCGCGCAGGTGGGGGGCTGGAAAAGGTCCATAAATTTCATTTTTCCACACTTAGTGGAATGAGCATATACATTTAGGAAAATGATGAATAACTCAGCAATCCAGACTGTGATAGAGGATGTAAAGGCAATTATGATTGCAGTGGACGGGATCGTTCGCGGAACCGACATTGTGCAACTATTCAGTCTTCTAGTTATAGTAATCTTCCCCAGATGACATAGTAAACCCAATAAATATCTGTGCCGCGGGGCCTTAGCGAATAGCTTTCCTCTAGGTAAGCTCCTGCATATTTGGCCACAGGCCGAAAATCCCCGACAGGGAACACTTCATCCACCCTGGAAATGGCGGCTCAGGGTAAGTCTGCGGATGGAGAATGGTACAACCTAACGCTTAGGTTAGATTTAATAGGTAATATGGCATAAAGGTGGGCGTACCATGGGCCTAGAGGATCTTTTTTCTAGGACGTAAGATAATCATTTGGGCTGCTCAACATGGTACCTCGACTACTGACACGATATATATTATGTTTGATCAACGAACTTTATACTATATTCAAAAATGGATTATTCACGCAAGAGTTCAAACATCATTACAGTTTGGTCCTCGAAGGTACATATATTGCATAGCCTTCTGTTATTTGAGAGTAAATATATCAACAGCGCTTGAAGTTTCATATCAAGCCACAACTATCGGCTGGCTTGTCCGAGCATCGGAAACATGTTCCGAGCAATTCAATATCTATAGAAGACAAAGTGAAAGTGGAGAGAGTTCCATTTTATGAGAGTACGCCTGTGAAGTCTGTTGGGGCCTCAGAAACTATGACTTCAATCTCCAATCCTTGAAGTCTTGAGCTATCCAGGACATATCCCCAGGTCTCAAAATGGAGGCTCAGCGGCTGTCAAAGGGAATTGCGCCTGTGGCACTGTGGTCCACAATTGCCAGAATACAGCAGAGTACGAACTGAATTTAGAAGTTATCGAATGGGGGACATTGACGGCTACACTATGTATATCTATTAGAAGCAAAATACGTATTTAATATCGTTCAAGGACAACGCCCTGAGGAACAAGTCACATTTTGGCCCGGTCTATTGATTAAGTACGAGAAGAGGTAGCATCCTTAACCAACAAGAGCGAGCTAGATACAGACGAGGAGAAAACAAAGGGAAATGCATAAAAAAGGATAAAACGGAGTAGCAAGAGGTGAACGCAAACATGTCTCATCTCCGTTAGTGCAAGACAAAGGAAACCATAGCAAGGGCCAGGAAAAGGGCCGGGGCGTCGACATATCGACTCAATATGCAGAAGCATAGCCCCAGTCACTTTCCCAGCACACTGCAGGCGGAAACGCAGAAAGCCACTTTTAACGCAGATTCTGCGATCATAAACCGCATCAAGACGTCAAGAGTTAGGGGGTTTAGATGAGGTCAGCCACGTTCATGGGCATCTCCTCAACCTGGGTGGAGTAGAACTGCTCGATCTCGCGGAGCATGCGAACATCGTCAGCGGTGACGAAGTTAATGGCAACACCCTTGCGACCGAAACGACCACCACGACCGATACGGTGAATGTAGTTCTCGCGGTTGGCGGGGAGATCGTAGTTGATGACCAGGGAAACCTGCTGGACATCGATACCACGGGCCAAAAGATCAGTGGCGATCAGGACACGGGAAGAACCGGAACGGAACTCCTTCATGATAACATCACGCTGGCCCTGCTCCATGTCACCGTGCATGGCGGAGACGGTGAAATCACGGGCAGTGAGTTTGTCGGTGAGCCAGTCGACCTTTCGGCGAGTGTTGCAGAAGATGACAGCCTGGGTAATGGTGACGGTCTCGTAGAGATCGGAGAGGGTGTCGAGCTTCCACTCCTCCTTCTCAACAGCAATGTAGAACTGCTTAATACCCTCAAGGGTAAGTTCCTGCTTCTTGACAAGGATACGGACGGGGTCGCGCATGAACTTGGTGGTAACCTCGAGGACGTCCTGGGGCATGGTAGCGGAGAGCAGGGTGACCTGGGTAGACTGGGGAAGCAGCTGGAAGATGTCGTAGATCTGCTCAGTGAAACCACGCTGGAGAAAAAAAGTTAGCACCGATTGATACACATAATATCAATTACAGTAACTTACCGAGAGCATCTCATCGGCCTCGTCGAGGATGAAGAGCTTCATGGCAGTGGTGGACAGAACACGGCGCTGGATCATGTCGTGGACACGGCCGGGGGTACCGACAACGACCTGGGGACCGGCGCGGAGAGCGTTCATATCCTCACGGACGTTGGTACCACCGATACAGGCGTGGCAGTCAAGGGACATGAAGTCACCGATGGCAACAACGACCTTCTGGATCTGCTGAGCCAGCTCACGGGTGGGAGCGAGGATCAGGGCCTGGCAGGCCTTGACCTCGGGGTCGATCTTCTGCAGGGCGGAGATGGAGAAGGTAGCGGTCTTACCGGTACCGGACTGAGCCTGGGCGATAACATCGTTGCCTGACCTCACAGGTTAGGCGCAAATTTCAAAGAGTGGATTCAGAATGAAACAAAACTCACCCTTGATGATGGGCATGATAGCACGCTGCTGAATGGCGGAAGGACGCTCGAAACCGTAAGCGTAGACACCTGGAATCCCACTGTCAGTATTTTTTTTCCCGGACCCCCACCTGATAAGACGAAGGGGTACATACCGCGAAGCAGCTCGGGCTTCAGGTCCATAGCATCGAAGGAGTCGGTAACCTCATCGTAGTTAGACTCGATCTGCCCTGTTGACGAAAATTGAGATTAGCCTCTATCTTCTTAAACGCCTCCCCTATCTAACGCCACTCAAGACTGAATGCGATCGCGGTCGCGACTTCCAGCGAAAGCAAAGTAACGGATCTTTGATAGAAAAGTGACGGGAATATAACACATACCCTCGGCGAGATCCTCAAGACCCTTGTCAGCCATATTTGCGATTTGATAGAAAGGATCACAGGCGTTGGCTGTGATCGGTGTGGTGGGGTAGTTTTAGCGAACTTGTGGAGGTTCGCTGCGTGGGAAAGTTGACTTCTAGTACCTCAGACTCTTTATGAAAGAGTCTTTTATAGGATACTAGGAAAGGTTGAAAAAAATGGTTGGATGTGAAATTCACAAATGGGGTGGGAGGAGGAAGAGAAGAAAAGCGAAAAAATCGAATGGCCACAACTGCGGCGCCATTTGCTACGCTTTTTTTTTTTACGGGGCAATACTTCACCGCTTGCCCTATTGAGTGTGGCCAAGCCCAAGCGAGGTTAGAGTGGGCGAGATGAACATGAAAACATCCTCTTGTTGACTATATTTAATTTCTGAATTGATTGGTGTGGTGCAAATTGTTGCTATATTCAGTGTCTTTGACTCTATCAATTCAGTTTCTCTTGTTTCCATTTACTTGGTAGACTACCTTTCAGTTGGCGCCAAAGTCACCGCTAGAAGGAATCTTTGAAGCCCTAAAAGTGCCAATCTCAGATATGCCTGACATCACATCGTTGCCGAGTCATCCACCACAGGATGCAGAGATCACAAGGGAGGCCATTCCCTCTCATCCACTAGGTGTGAAGCCAAGTGGAAATGCTCTGTTGGCTACTTGGAGTCTTCGCAACGCCATAGGGACCTTTCAACATTTGCCAGACGAACTAATCTTGTTATTGTTGGAAGGCTTTGACGGGCCAAGCCTGTTGAGAATCGGGCGGACATGCAAGGCTTTCTATGCATTTACCCGGGCTGAAGAACTGTGGAAGGCGCTGTTTGTTCGGTAAGCCACAAGCCTGCACTGCAGATCCAGTTGAACTATGTAGATCCATGTCATGTTTTGGTCCTGAGCCCTACACCTACCTATTCATAATATAATAATGTCCCAATGAACACAAATGAAATCCATACTAAGTCTCATTGCAGTGACCCAAGAGAAGATTTCACATGGCGAGGGACATGGCGGTCAACATATCTCAACATCCCCGCCTCCAAAGTGCCCATGGTGGACTGTTCCCAGCTATTCTCCGATTCTCTATACCGGCCCTTCAACTGCGCACACATCTCACTCGAGCCCTATGTCTCCAAGATCCCGACGCGGAACCAGATAGCACGACTTCCAGACCTGTCACCAGAGGAATTCCAAGCAGATTGGACTGACCGACCATTCATATTAACTGAGCCTGTCAAGGCCTGGCCAGCATACAAGAACTGGACCGTCGGCTCACTGCTCGCCCGATACGGGAAGACCAAGTTCCGTGCCGAAGCCGTGGACTGGGCCATGCGCACTTACGGCGACTACATGGCAGACAACTCTGACGAGAGCCCGCTATACCTATTCGACCGGTCCTTTGTCTCCAAGATGGGACTGTCCGTCGGATCTCCAGAAACCACACCTGACGCATCGTACTGGCCCCCAGCGTGCTTCGCCGAAGACTTCTTCTCCGTGCTTGGTGACGATCGCCCTGATCATCAGTGGTTGATTATCGGGCCCGAGCGGTCCGGCAGCAAGTTCCACAAAGACCCCAATGCCACCAGTGCTTGGAACGCCGTGCTGCGCGGTCCCAAGTATTGGATTATGTTCCCGTCCGGCAAGAAACAGCCTCCACCTCCGGGTGTCTTTGTGTCGGATGACCAGAGCGAGGTGACTTCTCCACTGAGTATTGCAGAATGGCTACTGGGTTTCCATGCCGAGGCACGCCGGACTCCGGGCTGTGTGGAAGGGATCTGTGGCGAGGGCGAGATCTTACACGTTCCGTCTGGGTGGTGGCATTTGGTTGTGAACCTGGAGCCGTCGATTGCTATTACGCAGAACTTTGTTCCCCGAGGCCATCTCGGCGCTGCCTTGGACTTCTTGTCCAACAAGCCGGACCAGGTGTCTGGGTTCCGGAAGAACGTGGCTAATCCATGCGAGAGATTTATGACCGGTATGCGGGAGTCATATCCCGACCTACTGGAGCAAGTTTGGGACGAGTTGCAGAAGAAGAGCGAAGGCAAGAAGCGCAAATGGGAGGACATTGTTCATGGGAAAACAGAGGACACCCCTGATGGACAAGACACCGAAGGAGGTGGATTCAGTTTTGGATTTGGCGATGATGGAAGTGACGTTGAAGTCCCATGAACTATTACTGCAATATGGAGAGACTGATGGAATCATAAAACAATGAGGTCGCCACCACCAACCAGCACCG